CAATCCATCGGCACTTGTTCCTCCTCCCAAATCTTCTTGAATAGAAGATGAAGCATGCTTGTAGTTACTTCGATGTCTGACTTCAACGCTTCAGCTGGTATATTGTCAGGTCCTGCTGCTTTCCCGCTCTTGATTTGTCTGATGGCCATTCTGATTTCTTCGGTCGTTGATGGATTGACATTTATAGGAAAATCTGTGTGTGCTGCTTCGATGTCCGGTGGATTCATTGGAGCTGGCCTGTTCAGGAGTTCCTCGAAGTACTCTGCCCATCTGTTCCGCTGTTGCTGAATCTCAGTGATTGGTCTTCCTTCTTTGTCTTTGACTGGTCTCTCTGGTTTACTGTATTTCCCTGCAAGCTTCTTCGTCGTATCGTAAAGCTGTCTCATATTTCCTTCTCTTGCAGCTTTTTCCGCCGTCGTTGCTAGTTCTTCCACGTATTCCTGCTTGTCGGCTCTAATGCTCTTCTTCCCTCTTGACACGTTGAAGTTAATGCTTCTTTGATACCTTTCCAGTTATCCTCCATAGTAGTTTCTTCTTCCTTCAGTAGATCCTGTAGGGCTTGGAACCTGTTGTTAAGAGCTATCTTGAATCCATTGAGTTTGTCAGTATTTCGAAGGAAGGCTGTATTGAACCTTTGTGGTGCTGTTTGTCCAGTTGTCCAGTTCTTCTTTAGCTTCAGTTTCAAATTGGCCACAACCAGGTAGTGATCTGAAGCTATATCTGCTCCTCTCCTGGTTCTCACATCTTCCATTGTCCTTCAGAACTTTTTATTGATGCAAATATGATCTATCTGGTTCTATGTGGTGTGGTCCGGTGAGATCCATGTAGCTTTGTGTATATGTTTGTGTGGAAATATTGTGCCGCCTATGACCAATTTGTTGAATGCACACAGATTTACAACTCTTTCCCCGTTTTCGTTCCTCTCTCCCAGTCCATGCAGTCCCATGATATCTTCATATCCGGTGTTGTCTATTCCGATTTTGGCGTTTAGATCTCCCATCAGAATGGTGAGGTCCTTTCTTGGGCACTTCTCGATGATTGATTGCAGCCTCTCATAGAATTGATCTTTAACGTCGTCGTTGCTATCATTGGTGGGTGCATAACATTGGATAATGTTCATTGTGATCCCCTCCTTCTTTGTTTTGAATGATGCTTTGATGATTCTGGATCCGTGAGATTCCCACCTTACAAGTGCATTTCGTGCTACTTCGGACAGCATTAGAGCAACTCCCTGAGTGTGTGGAGCATTTTTCTCTTCGTGACCGGAGTATAGCAGCATCTCTCCCGTATTTAGCCTTTGTTGTCCAGCTTTGGTCCAATGGGTTTCACTGATTCCCAGTACTGCCAAGTTGTATCTCCTCATTTCCGCTGCTATTTGACTGGTCTTCCCGGTTTCCCACGTTGTCCGGACGTTCCATGTACCTATAAAATTTGTTTCTCTGGTTGTTAGAAGGGGCATTGGCCTCATGGTTTCCGAAGGAACTCGGCTTTCACCATGAGACGTCATATTTGTTCTAAATGAAGACCTTCTAACTCCCAGGACAGAGTCTAAATGGTTTGAGTTATTTTTTCTGGTTAACGTATTTTTAGCGAGTTAGTTTTCTACAGGAAGGGGACGCTAACCCCATGCCCAACCCTCCTCCTTTATCCTGGCTTGGGACCGGCAGTTACTCTAGAACAGCAACAGGTGGAGTTTGTGCACAAAGCAGAAATGAAAAAGTAGCGCAAAAAGTGTCGCGATACCCCTGGAGCGTTGCCCTGGGAAAAGGCAAGGGAAAAACGTTTGAACCGTTCGAAGCTGCCTGCGCTTTCGTTTCAACGACCCTGAACGGCCTGACAGGAGGCGGTCATTCCGTATTTCAATTGCCGTTAGTCTGTTAAGTTGCATGAGTATCACGTATTTTCATATTAAAGTCACCTTTTGCTGCATTAAAGAGCAAAAAATAACTACCAAAAGCCTTAATTTAGCGTTTTCTGTTTTGTAGTGTACACGTTGGCTCTGTTGTCGCCTCATAATTTGATCTTTGATCCCAACTGCTGTAGTAAACCTCAACGAAATGTTAAGTCACCGGTAAATCCTAAGTAGTTGTAGTACTTCCTTGGGTTATTATTGTTTCAAGGAATTATTTTTTTACAATTAATGATTTCTGTTTGTAGTGCTTCATGCTCAAGTGACATTTCAGTCGATCTTAGCGATGCCTTTCAAAGTATGATACTGAACAAGCGTTTCGCATGCTGGGATGACTTTGATAGCGCACTAAAAGGGTTCCAAAAGGTATGGAAGAGTAATTTTATCCCTTCTCAAACTACCTATACTCAGTACATCCACACAGAAAGCAAGTTGCCGAAGGATTTCATGTGCAAATACCTATTTGTTACGTTTCACTGTACATTTGGTCATAAGCGGAAATCGGAAGGTTTGAAAGTGAATCAAAAATAGTGAGAACTTTGCCTAATATCTGACGTTTAAGATCTAAATTCTTTAATTGCTAGTCAAAGTTCCGTGTAAGACTGGAGGAGAAAGGATATGTCATCAAATCCTACAAGATGCTCCACAATCATCAAAGTAGTAGTTCATGGATGATTTGTGATCCATGGACAAGAACATTGTCGTCGGAAGAGAAAGAGAATTTGAAGCCAGTCATCCTGCAGTCGCAGTCAACAGATAAAGTTATAGAATGTGTCGAGGAGAGGACTGGGAAGGTGGTCACCGCTGCTGATTTAAAGATTATGAATAACTTCAACTAATAGGTTAAGCCTGTAGACAAAATGTTAGACGTATTATCATTATCATATTTAATTATCATACTTATTACTTACTTACGCCTGTTACTCCCAATGGAGCATAGGCCGCCGACCAGCATTCTCCAACCCACTCTGTCCTAAGCCTTCTTTTCTAGTTCCATCCAATTCTTGTTCATTTTTCTCATATCTATCTCCATTTCTCGGCGTAATGTATTCTTTGGTCTTCCTCTCTTCCTTCGACCTTGAGGATTCCATATGAGGGCTTGTCTTGTGACGCAGTTCGGTGCTTTCCTCAATGTGTGTCCTATCCACTTCCAGCGCTTCTTCCTGATTTCTTCCTCCACTGGGATCTGATTTGTTCTCTCCCACAGTAGGTTGTTGCTTATAGTGTCCGGCCAGCGGATCTGAAGTATTTTGCGTAGACAACTGTTAATAAACACCTGTATCTTTTGGACGATGGATTTCGTAGTTTTCCAGGTTTCCGCCCCATACAGTAGAACTGTCTTCACATTTGTATTGAAAATTCTGACTTTGGTGTTGGTTGCTAATTGTTTTGAGTTCCAGATATTCTTCAGTTGTAGATATGCTGCTCTTGCTTTGCCAATCCGTGGCTTCACATCTGCATCAGATCCACCGTGTTCATCGATGATACTGCCCAAATATGTAAAGGTTTTTACATCTTCCAAAGCTTCTCCGTCAATTGTGATTGGATTGTCGCATGCTGTGTTGTATCGGAGAATTTTGCTTTTCCCTTTGTGTATATTGAGACCTATTGCTGCTGAGGCTGCAGCTACACTGGTTGTCTTCTCCTGCATTTGTTGTTGCGTATGCGATAGAAGAGACAGATCATCTGCGAAGTCTAGATCATCCAACTGCACCCTAGCTGTCCACTGTATCCCGTGCTTCCCTTCAGATGTTGACATCTTCATGATCCAGTCGATCACCAGGAGAAAGAGAAAGGGTGAGAGTAAGCAACCTTGCCTGACACCGGTCTTTACTTCGAACGACTTTGTCAACTGTCCTCCATGAACGATTTTGCAGTTTAATCCATCATAGGAATTCTGTATGATATTGACTATCTTCTGAGGCACGCCGTAGTGTCGAAGAAGCTTCCATAGGGTTGTTCTGTCCACGCTATCAAATGCTTTTTCGTAGTCGATGAAGTTCTCCACAGGTAAGTGTATAAAAATATATTTCAGGTTGTTGTACTCGAAAGCAGGTAATGGATTTGCTACGACAAAAAGGTGAAGCAAGGGAACATTTAGACAATGGATATGTAACGAAAATATGTTTCAGTAGTTATGACCAAATACACTTGTACAATAAATATCCAGAAGTTGTTTGTACTGATTATACTTATAATATCAATATTAAGTGATTATGCTTTTCGTTGACGTGTGATGGAAAAAATAATATTAATAGCTGGTAAATAAAGACACAATAAATGCACGACAATATGTTACATATGCACGAAAACCCATGGCGTAACAGCTTGACAATGCCGTTGCGGACGTAGCGTCACTTTTAAAATTACGCTGGATGAATCCAAATTTCAGATTTACGCGAGGATGATGAAATACTTGTTTTTGTTCGATTCTAGTATGTTTCAGATCGTGACTGTTTTTCTCGAGAACGAATCAACTGAAGGGGCAGACATCATCAACGCTTAAATCAGTAACACCTTCTAATATGAAGCATCGTCTTCTTTGTCTAGGTTGTGAGGGTGAGTTAGTTGAATGCTCTTCGGAAGAATGATGATCACCATCATCATCTACATCCTGAACGCAAGGCTCAATAACCGATATCAATATGATGGGCTATAGTAATGTGAAATCTGACTCTGACAAACTGCGTTTACGACCATATGTACAGACATACTTTAGAGTTGGTTCATCACTGTTCTTTTTACATACTGACATAACGTACTTAGTATGCGTATACCACAAGAATAATTATGAACCACAGAAGTCATATTACCTTATGTACTTCTTTCAAACAGGTCTCGAAATTGTCCCAACTTGTTAATCTTCGAGATAACATAATATCATTGAAGATTCGTCCCATATCATGAATCATCACGATAGCATCGTCTTCGTTACTTGAAGGATGGACGTTATCAGACATGGTGTGGCTGAACTCAATTCAAATCTAAAAATGTCTTGATTTGACCGCCACTGGAAAACTGCACGAAGTGTCGATGTGACTCACTAATCGTCTTGCGACAGTTTGACCTTCAAGTGCTCGCAACCTCCATTAGTGGACGATACCCTTGAAGCGTTGCCGTCTGCAACAGCAGTGTAAGTGTTCCTAGTGTCGATTCCAAGATTGTTTTAGTCCAAGGATTGTGTTATTTCTGACTGTTCAGTCTTCAGTAATAAGGATAGGAGGCCTATTGACCTATATTAATCCTTGCAGTTTGTAACACTGTGGAGGTCCAATCTCGTTTTTAATATATCAACAAAAGGTGCTGATATTACATGTTCCGGTAGACACTTCCAGTAATTCACTACTCGGTGCGACAAACGAATCTCCAGACGTAAACGATTTGACCCCGGTTTTTGAACTTTCTCCGAATGTCCTCTCAAGTGATCAGTCCTAGGCTGAAGTAAAAGATAAGATGTTAATACTAAGATCATCGTTCAGTATACGATAAGCCAATATTAAATCGCTCCGTATTCTGCGGTAAGATAAGGGAAATAAGTTAAGGTGTCTACGTCTGTCTTCATAAGATAGGCCAGATAGACCTTTTAGCACCTTAGTCCCTCATCGTTGGGCTCTTCCCAGCATATCTGCTTCATACTTGAAACAAGGATTCGCTACTTGAATCACATATTCCAAATGTAATTGCACGTAAATCGGGCATAATAGTTTAAGCATTTTGTCATCTAAATACTGGAAAGACCTACGAATAGACCATAACACCCTATAGCGTTTCTCAGTAGCAGCTTTACAGTGACTGTTGGTTTTGAGACCACTGACTGTTGTCGATTGGTTTTCTTATTAGGTCGTTGACTCACCTCATTTTCTTCACTTTTCCAGTCTTTGCTTACGTTACTCTGTATGCCCCCCAAGTACACAAAGTACTTTCTAGCTAGACGTAAATCACCACGTAAGCAGTGGAGTTACTGCATTCAGTGACGTCCCAGTCTCTAGGTTTTAGGGAAGTTTAGGGGTTTTTATGCTATTTCCCTAAAGTTTTCTGTTGTGGCTTCCCCGAAATGAGGAGATTGGGACATTTCGGCTTTGTACTGCCTTTCAAGTTTCTCAAAATTTCAGAGTAAATCAGTATTCTTTGACACTTTTTGCAGATATGTAGTCCTTGCTCCTTGTAACGCAGAACAGATGTTCGATTATTTATTAGATGACGAAATTATCACCTTCCAGTTTATTCTGTTTTGATATGTGACCGTGAAATATATCTGTCGAAGGCCAGAAACATTCATATTCTACTGTTGTTCGACCGAATATAAAGTCACTAGTTATTGTTCAGATTCTGATTTGTGCAGTAAGGACAGAAGGCATACAGCCCATGTTATCCCTTTTCTAGTGTGCTACTATGAGTGTACAGTCTCTTGAGTGAGTCAATTGAAGGTATGGACACCACTGCTTCGAGTAACAGGTACCAAAAACTGATGGCTTGGTGTGAAAACTTGTATGCCACGTGTATTTTGTTTGTTCTTGGCCTTTCTACTCGCCTGCTATGTCCTCTGAGATGTCCCAATCTGGTGGGAAGCAAAAGAGAGAATATGATAGGTCCAAAATTATTTCTTAGTATTATATCCATCAAAATTAGATCTCCCCCTAGTCTGCAATAGGAAATTGAAGTAGGTCCCCCATCTCTAGCTGAAGTTCATAAGGCTATAGTTAATCTGAAACGAGGAAGGGCAGCTGGTCAAGATGGATTGGCCCCAGAGGTCTTTAAGGATTGTGGTCTAGTTTTAGCGATTAGGTTGACCAATATTTTAGCTAAAATTTGGGAGTTAGACGTTATCCCATCTAACTGGTCACAATCACTTATCGTCCCAATATTTAAGAAAGGGTCAAAATCATCCTGTGACAACCATAGAGGGAATAGTTTGATATAGTATCTAAAATACTAGCCTCAATAATTATCGGACGCCTAACTAAGACTCGTGAACTGCAAACGCGTGAAAATCAGGCTGGCTCCAGACCTGGTCGTGGATGCATCGACCACATATTCACCATTCGTCAGGTTCTAGAAAAAATGTTATTATTTTGTTTTATTTGAACACAAATATTGGTACAGGGGGGCACCAAATATATATGCGCCACACACATGCATACTTATCGGCGTCCGACAATGGTGGTCTTCCTTGACTTAAAAGCAGCGTTTGACTCTGTAGACCGAGGGGTTCTGTGGCAGTGTCTGTCATTGAAAGGCGTACCTCAGAAGTACATAAACCTTGTGAAAGCCCTTTACTCGAACACTTCTAGTCGAGTGAGAGTTTATGGCGAACTGTCATCCGCTTTTGCATCCTGAAGTGGTGTCCGTCAAGGCTGTCCACTTTCTCCATTTTTGTTTAACTTCATCACAGATCTTTTGATGGAAATAACGCTCTCATCGACTGAATTCTCGGGCGTCGATCTCCTACCAGGAGGTCCACTTATCGACTTAGAATACGCAGATGACATAGTCCTGTTTGGTGAATATGCTGATGAAATGCAGTCTTTTGGTAGCACTAAGCAACAATGCCAGAATGTTTGGGATGTGCTTCTCTCCTTCTAAATGCAAGTTGTTACTTCAGGACTGGTCTGCGTCAACATCTGAACTAAGGATAGGGGGTGAAGTAGTCGAATGTGTTGACAACTTCACTTATCTTGGAAGTCTGATCAGCCCTAATGGGTTGGTGTCTGACGAAATCTCATCACGGATTCGAAAAGCTCGTTTGGCTTTTTCCAACTTACGTCATCTATGGCGAAGGCGAGATATCCGTCTGTCAATAAAAGGACGAGTATACTGCGCGGCAGTTCGTTCCGTTCTACTATACGACTGTGAAACATGACCTTTAAGAGTAGAAAATACTCGTAAGTTACTAGTATTTGACCACAGGTGCCTTAGAAATATTGCGGGTATCTGCTGGGACCACCGGGTAAGTAATAGTGAGGTTAGACGCAGGGTATTAGGGAATGATGGTAAATCAGTTGATAAGGTTATGAGTCTTCATCGACTGAGATGGTTAGGCCACATGCTGCGTATGCCTGAACACCGATTACCACGACGCGCAATGCTAACCGGTGTTATGGATGATTGGAAGAAAGTTAGGGGCGGCCAAACCAAAACGTGGCATCAGTGCTTGAAGTCACTAACTTCTGGTCTGAGCCATGTCGGTAGATGCAGACTACTTGGTTGGGGTCCGCGTGACTATCGTAACCAATGGTTGGAGACTCTTGGTGACATGGCTCAGAATCGATCACAATAGCGTCGGTGTATACACTATCTGTCTTCCTTTAAACTAACAGATTAAAATCACTTCAAATCTTTCTTTCTAGGAACTAATTCTTTCTTCCTGTACTATCTCCTTATACACACTCTTTCTTCTATATATTACCACCATTGAATTAACTACTTCTATGAATCCGGTGTTCATCTTGTTGTGCTAATGCGGTATGGCAACTTGGACCGATGCATATACGTGCCTGGTCCTACGTTGCAGCTGACTGACTGACTGTGATAGGACGGAGTAAACGGGTTTAGCTTTTCAAGCCGGTTTTTGTATGGTAAACCCCGGAGTTCTGGAATTGTACGAGTAGCTGCCATTTACACTTTTTCTAGGATACCCGAGTCACCTTTTAAACAGAGGCTTGCAGCATGAACGCAGTTCCTCAGCTTAGTTCTCACTGAGGTTGTGTATACTGTGGTGAATATGGTGGTATCTAACTTAGTGAATGTCCGTCTTAAAACCCAGGGGGTTCTAATCCCCTTAGCTGCGACCTCCGTGCAACGGGCCATGGTCTTACGATCATGACTCACTATTACTCCAAGATCTTTATGAGGCCGGATCATGGGTACAGGCACTTCCTCTATGCTGTGCCTATTAACCTTTGTATCCCCAAATTGAATGTGGACACACTTAGCCGCGTTGATAGGCATCAGCCACTCTTTAGACCAGTTAATCACATTATTTCAGTCTGCCTGAAGTGCACATGCATCTGCGTCTCCCGTTGTTACTCGTCAGGTTTTTACATCGTCAGCGTATAATAACATTGGGGACTGTACTATACTTGCGAGATCATTTCTATACAGTATAAAATGTAAAGGATCTAGAACAGAACCCTGAGGTACTCCACTAAGTACTGGTCTTCAGGTGGAGCACTTGGAATTTGCTCTTACTTTCTGTATACGGCCTACTAGGAAATCCTTAAACTTTTTTAAAAGAGGTCCGGCAATACTAAGATATTTTAACTTCAATAGCAGTCTATTTGTTGGCACCTTGTCAAATGCCTTACTAAAGTCTGTGTAGACAACATCCACTAATTTTCAGCCTATCAATATCTGCAGAATTCTTTTTTTGGCAACCCCTGGAGTGCGACAATCCCTATAAATTTATTATCAAACCAACGTCACGTCTATTCTGGTCGGAGAGTAGTGTAGTGGCATTGAGCCCTAACCACACAATGCTCAATGCTGAACAAGAGTCAACTTGGAAAATAAATTAATAATGTTTAAAGCGGAGAAAAACTAACTGTGATATTCAGTATATCAATTGGCCACGGTGTGTTACCTGTGAACTGAAAGAATGCAATCGTCACTTCAATACACAAAACAGGACCACTTCCATCGAACTACACACTTGTCAGCTTCACAAACGTCGTACTTAAGATTTTATTTTTTATTTTATTTGAACACATAAATATTGCTACAAGGGGGCACCAAATATATATGCGCCACACAAAACAATGAGAATTTAAAGAGAAGGGAAAAAAGGCAAGGAGCGTAGGGAATAAAAAAACGAGAGAACAATAACGACCAGATTAGCGTGAGGTAGAGTAATAGTAGCAATAATGGGGGAAACGAAAAGGTAAAATCAGAAGAAATCTTTCAGTTAAGGAAGAAGCAACTGCTTTTTACGAAGAAAGTAAAAGAAGGTTACAGCAGGATCGCCACTGGCTTCTATTCTGAGCCATATCTGATAACGTTTCTAGCCGCTGTGTTACACCATCTCTCGGACCCCAGCCAGGGAGTCGTGAAGGACCAACACAAGCCAGCCCTTTGTAGCCTTCTTTCATACGACGACACCATGTCATATACTGACCACCTCTCCGCTTTTTCCAACCAGTCCCAGATTCGCAAATAATGCACGACGTGGAATTCTGTGGGACGACATTCGTAAAACATGTCCAAGCCACCGAAGTCGGTGTTTCAAGATGGTGACACCAATTGGATTGTCGTCTCTTTGCCCGAACACACGATGCCGAACCTCTGCATTACTGACATGGTGTTGCCACTGGATGTCAGCAATCCTTCGGAGACAACGATGATCGAACACAGAGAGTCGTCTAACATCCTCAACTCGGAGAGGCCAGGTTTCACAAGCATAGAGCAAAACTGCTCTCACCAACGCGTTGTAGATCCAACCTTTTACAGCCAGACTAACATCACGAGGGCGCCAAAGATGGCCCAGATTGGCATAAGCCGCTCTGGCTTTCACTATACGCGCATCGATCTCATCACTCACGCCACCACCAGCACTTATGCAGCTACCTAGATACACGAACTTCTCGACTACTTCTATCTGCTCACCACCCAGAGTGAGTACAGGATTAGAATCCTGCCAGTCTTGTAGAAGTACTTTGCACTTCGAAGGTGCAAAGCACATACCATACCTACGGACATTGATTGCCAACTGATTAAGTGCGGATTGCATGGCTTGGGCGTTCTCGCACAGTAAGACAATATCATCCGCATACTCAAGGTCGAGAAGTCTTTCTCCAGGCAACAGATCCACATCACCATTACTTACATCCACTAGAGCTGTTTCCAGAATGTCATCGGTGGCAAAGTTGAAGAGGAATGGTGAGGTTGGGCAACCCTCTCTGACCCCACTGCTTGAATGGAACAACGGAGAAAGGTGGTTGTATGCCCTCACTCTGCCTGAGGTGTTTGTATATAGGGCTTTTAGGATGTTAATAAACTTCTCAGGCACACCCTTCTTCAATAGACAATCCCAGAGAACAGTTCTGTCGAACGAATCGAAAGCAGCCCTGATGTCAAGAAACACTGCGATTGTTGGCCTTTGATAAGTATGGCGGTGTTCTAACATTTGGCGGAGAGTGAAGATATGATCAATACATCCTCGACCGGAACGAAACCCAGCCTGCTCCTCGCGAGTCAATCTTTCTCGGGTTTTGAACAACCTACGAAGTATGAAAAAGTCAATAGCTTGGATACAATCGGAAGTAGACTTATCCCCCGATAGTTGTTATAGGAACGACGTGAACCCTTTTTAAAGATAGGGACAACTATCGACTCATTCCATGACGTTGGTACACTCTCTAGTTCCCATAACTTTTTAAACAACGTCGTCAGTCCCTTAGTCAGAAAGTCACCACCATCTTTAAAAAGAGCCGAAGGTAAGTCATCTGGGCCCGGTGATTTGTAGCGTTTCAAGAGTTGGAGTTCTTTTCGGACTTCCGCCTCATTTGGTGGATCAGTCTTCACCGGCCATGGAGGGCAGGACAGTCTGACCGCTGTTGCCGAGCAGCAGGCCAGTTGAACTGCCCTTCGAAGAATTCTGCCCATCGTCCAAGACGTCAATGGATGTTAGTGATTGACGTTCTGTCATCCTCGCAGATTGTTTCGCTCACACCAGACTTCTTGCTGCCAGTGGCTCGGATGAGTTGGAAGAGCTTCCGGTAATTGCCAGATGCAGCTGCTGCTTCCAGCTCTTTAGCACGCTCTGACCACCAGGCTTCTTGGTCCTCACGCAAGCTTTGCCCAGAGACGATAATCCAATTGGTGTCACCATCTTGAAACACCGACTTCGGTGGCTTGGACATATTCTACGAATGTCGTCCCACAGAATTCCACGTCGTGCATTATTTGCGAATCTGGGACTGGTTGGAAAAAGCGGAGAGGTGGTCAGTATATGACATTATTTATTATTATATTATTATTTTAACACATAAGTATAGGTACAGGGAGGCACCAAATACATATGCGCCATACAAATCAATTGAGATTTGTGTGAGGGCTGTGATACTGCTCGGGTGCCCAAACCGAAGCAGGTGGTTTTCTTAGGGGGCCACACCCCGAGCCTTTGACCTGAACGTCTGACCCACAAGGCAGTGGAGCATCGTGAGGAGATGCAGTCCCATGGTAGCCGGTGACCAACGATTGGTTCATACGCCATTTGTTCCCGCAGGATACTGGAGCCCATGTGCACCATTGGTTTGGGGTCGGTTGAAGCGCCAGATATTCGCTTTCCGTCCTCTCATTTTTGTAAACAACACCCCCGCCACGAGAAGGCAATGAGTAGGACTTCCCTGGCAGAGGCTATATACGCATGGCCATGTGAGAGCATTTCGAGAGGGAGAGCGGACTCTCCCCACTCTCGGCCGTACCAGGGCACTTGGGGGCCAGTATATGACATGGTGTCGTCGTATGAAAGAAGGCTACAAAGGGCTGGCTTGTGTTGGTCCTTCACGACTCCCTGGCTGGGGTCCGAGAGATGGTGTAACACAGCGGCTAGAAACGTTATCAGATATGGCTCAGAATAGAAGCCAGTGGCGATCCTGCTGTAACCTTCTTTTACTTTCTTCGTAAAAAGCAGTTGCTTCTTCCTTAACTGAAAGATTTCTTCTGATTGTACCTTTTCGTTTCCCCCATTATTGCTACTATTACTCTACCTCACGCTAATCTGGTCGTTATTGTTCTCTCGTTTTTTTATTCCCTACGCTCCTTGCCTTTTTTCCCTTCTCTTTAAATTCTCATTGTTTTGTGTGGCGCATATATATTTGGTGCCCCCTTGTAGCAATATTTATGTGTTCAAATAAAATAAAAAATAAAATCTTAAGTACGACGTTTGTGAAGCTGACAAGTGTGTAGTTCGATGGAAGTGGTCCTGTTTTGTGTATTGAAGTGACGATTGCATTCTTTCAGTTCACAGGTAACACACCGTGGCCAATTGATATACTGAATATCACAGTTTATGTACGAGAATAGTCTCTTAGGCTTCTTGATTGCAGGTTGTGCCAAATGCATTTCATATTTTCTCTGAGCTTCCTGAATTTTGATTATACACTCATTTCGTTTCGACCTGTAGAGTTCCATCGTATTTGCAGTTTCAAGGCTGATGACGTTCTAATATTTCTTCTTTTGTCTTAGTAAACGTCGAATATCCCGGCCTATCCAGGGATGACCGTGCTTCTTTTTCTTTTTTGGGACTGTCCACGGTATATATGGTTGAGTTACCTGGTTATATTTCTGCCTCAAATGAGCCCATGCCTCTTCTACTGATGCCCTTGAGTCGATTTCCCAGTGCCTCAAATGCGATGACTTAGAGGCAGCTTTTCTTGGGACGGTTGTATTCGTTTTGTGACTTCCCAGTTTGAGGGCTTGATACTATTCCGTAGCTGTTACTAATTTTTTTTGTTTTCGAACCATTTTCTCTTTTTACTTTTTAAAGTCGTTGATGCGTCGTTATTTCAACCCATGGTCTCCATTTTATTAAATTCATCTCGATCTGTTGATTTAGGGTTTGCCAACTTTAGTCAACTCTCACCTTACTAGGTTAATCCACTCGCCTCTTTTATTACTGTGCACTTTTATATCCTAGGTGGTTTTGAGTATCTGTGGTTATTGGCGTGGTAGCTCAACTTCTGGACTGATAGTTGTTTGCTGCTAGTGTTTATCAATTTATGACCTTCAGGTTCTGTTATCGACTTACTATGTTGTAAGCATACCTATTTTCAAAAATGATCGCAATTTTCTCTTTCTGGGGTTGAAATTCAGAGTGAAATGATTTTGTTCACAACTTTACTGAGGCTGTTGATATCTTAAGCGCAAAGTAGAATTCAACTGTTTGTTTTCAAAAATTGCTTTTAAAATGAAGCCAAGATCTAGAACTTTTTTCCAAACTAAAACTAGGCTTCAGCTTACTTGTCAGTTGCATAAAGTAAACGAAATCTGAATTAGTTTATACCGGTAACAGAGGTCACTGGTCATTTGCCACTTTATTTCCTTGATAACGAAACTCAACAAATAGGGTCTGATTCAACCACTGGGGTTCTTTTGCTACTGACATATTGACCTTGCTTTTTTTACACAGTGGTCGATGTAGTCTGTTTTGATATTCATTCTGGGAAGGTCTTTGTTATGTGCTCGGAACAATTAACTGTTTGTGTAGAATGTTTTTCGGCCCAATTCACTTATCTGTCCTAATTTTAGTGAGGATTGACATTTTCCCTCGTTTATACCGTCTTTAATTTCGGGAAAGTCTCTTCATATCAATCTCAGAGAGCGAATATTTATTTATTTATTATAAAATATGTATAGTTATCTGATAAAAGTTATATATCTTGTAATCTTTCGTTAGGCTTACCATGTATTTCTTTAGTTAAGTCAAAGCTACATTACCTAGCAAGAAATTATTCAGCAGTTGGTATATAGTTTATTGGCTAGTTAAGGATTTTTTAATGATCTCTTACTGTCATACAGGTAATGTTTTGTGTCAGATTTAATCATTGCATATGTGATCTGGTCCACAACCCCATTAGGTAATAAGGAGTTAATGCAGCCCAATTTTATGCCTTAAAAAGTAATGTTTATTTTGCATGGGGTCACATGTTTAAACTGGTGAGTCGAAGACCCAGTAAGATCTCTTGGTATTTGTTTAAGTTCTGTGATTAGTGCAAATTACCTTAGTTTTATACCAGATTTTATTAAGTGGATTTTCTACTTCTTCTTCAGAGTTTAGTAATTCAACCGTCATCATGGTTGTCGAATCGGATGATTCTAGTTTTCGCCAACTGGAATACTTCTCTTTAGTCTCAAAAGTTTGCACAGAATTAACAAATCATTTGGGTTTAGATGACAAAGTCCTGGGTATGTTGATTGTTTGGATTTTTGATCATGTCAACTCTTTCACAGCTGAATTTGTTATTCATTTGGCTAAGAAAAATCCAACTTTTGAAAAATTCAAAAGTGCTTTGGAAAAGAAAGGTGCAGAGTTTACGGTAAGTGCATCTATTAGATTACCTTTGATATTTGTTTTCTTGTCCACAGGACCCATTAATAGCCAGTATTTTACGTCTAGTTGAGAAAATGCTTCCAAAGAAGGAGAAAGTTACTAAAAAGAAGGCATTGACATCTTCATCTAACAAGAAACATTCTGAGTTAGATGTTGTCAAAAACAAACTAGAATTAAGAAAGCGACTTTTACCTGCGTTGTGTATGCCAAATGAAGATCCAAACGACGAGGTATTCGATTTTCTCACTGTCATTAGTGTCTTGTTTATTTTCCATCCAGCGATTAAATGTGGAATCTGAAAATGTAGAACCATGCAGTGATACTGATAAAAAGGACGGGATTCGTAACAAATTCGTTCATCCTGATGAACTGGAAGAGGAATTCCATAGTGATAATATCAATAATAAAAATGATTGTGTGGATGACGTCGAAGCTTTGGCTATGATTAAAGACTTGGAATTATTGTTATCCGGTGCTAAAGAGTAAATTTTCATGTTTATAAAAATATTTTCATAGAGCATCCTTATCTAAGTCAAAGCCACGTGACGAAAGGAAAAGTGAAGATAGACGGTTAGTAGTTTCCTTATTTGCTTGTTTGAATCTAGTTGTATGTTATATTGTCCCATTGATATCTACCATTTTCGTGAACAGTGACTTCAACATATGAATCAGTCAGTCAGCTACAACGTATGTCCAGGCACATATATGCATCGGTCCAAGTTGCCGCACCTCATTAGCACAGCACGATGAACACTAAATTCATAGTGGTTACATAAATAGTAGTAAATTTTGTATGAAGATATAATACAGGAAGAAAGAATTAGTTCGTGGAAAGGCAGACAAAGTGTATACACCTATGCCATTGTGATCGATTCTCAGCCATGTCACCAAGAGTCTCCAACCATTGGTTACGATAGTCGCGCAGACCCCAACCAAGTAGTCTGCATCTACCAACATGGCGCAGACTAGAAATTAGTGACTTCAAGCACTGATGCCACGTTTTGGTTTGGCCACCCCTAACTTTCTTCCAACCATCCTCAACACTAGTCAGCATTGCTCGTCGTGGTAATCGGTGTTCAGGCATACGTAACACGCGGCCTAATCATCTGAGTCGATAAAGATTCACAGCCTCATCAACTGATTTACCATCATTCCCTAATACCATGAGTTTAACCTCACTATTACTTACCCGGTGATCCCAGCAGATACCCGCAATATTTCTAAGACATCTGTGATCAAATACTAGCAACTTACGAGTCAACTTATGCATTGCTTCAACTAAGTAGCATAATAATTCCTATAATGTCCTCCATTAAATCTCATTTAGATATTTTTTCCATACTCTAGAGAGCTGATTTTAGTACATGGTGCTAAGTAGTTGAATAATTTATATACATTGGGGCTGAGTTCTAAATGTAAAGAATTCAATAATTTCTTTAGATCCGATATTTGCGTCCTAATTCGAGCTCATTTGATATTCTTAATAACGATTAAAATTTAAGTTATTGTGTGACTATATTCAGAACTATAGTATGATATATAACCCGTACTGCATTCTTTTGTCGTTCGATCTTACGTGGCAACAAGTTGTTTCTATTCCACCGTGAAAGTTACATCGTACTCAATTTTATACAAATACTTGTTACTTCCCTCTAGCAGTTCAAGCTCGGAGTGCAGGGACAAAGTATATATTTAGCACTGCTTATCAAATTACGGGACTATTCTTTCGTAGTTTTCATGATGGGGATTTTTTGTCTTTAATATAAGTGAAACTGAACAATTCCAGTCCTAAACATCAATGGGAAGATTCAAATAAAACAATATCAAGTGAATTAAACTTCACCCCATTCCACAAGCAAGTGGCTATCAGGACTCAGTAGCTAAGTGGATAACGTGATGGCGTTTGAAGTGGACGGTACTGGGTTCGAGTCCCGGAGTAAACATCAACTCTGAAATGCAGGTACATCCGGCTGACGAGTCCCAAATAGGACGAAACGCGCGTCCTGGATTCCACTGCTAGCCACTATCTATCTTTGCTTATAATGCTTGTAAATTAAGGCGATATCGAGGAATACGCACAGTATGCACATATGCCAATAAGAGATTGAACAATTTCAGTCCTAAACATCAATGGGAAGATTCAAATAAAACAATATCAAGTGAATTAAGTGAAACTTTACTTGTAGCTCTCGCTGTGGAATTTCACCGGCTGTTTGATGTTATACCTTTTGAGTATGTTTGTCTTGGTCAAAACATTTTTTTGCGGAATAGGTTGTTACAGAATTTTTGGAACTTGTACTTTAATAAATGTTCTGGTTCACTCAACATATCTTTTTTATATCAGAAGGGTTTTGTGGATATTATAGTAATTTCAATGGTTGAGATCATGAGGTCGTGGATGCGCACTGCTGAGGAGTCCCATACTAGGACGAAACGACCGTCCAGTGCTACCAGGTTTCCAACTGTGGTCTAACATCAGTCGATTCATGATCTCAATCAAAAACTTAGTAATCTCCACAAACCCAATAATGATATCTTTTTTACCCAACTTTTTACTTTCCGTTGATGAAAGATGCAGTTTGACTCACAAACCAGTGTGAGATATTACCATATGTTCGAGCGTTTCACTATCGAATGCATATCCTATTTTGGAATTAATACTCTCAAGTTTAAGATTGTCATATACTCTATACATCCCTATCTGTAATTTATTATTTATTTATTTGAACACATAAATATTGCTACAAGGGGGCACCAAATATATATGCGCCACACAAAACAATGAGAATTTAAGAAGAGAAAAAAAAGTAAGGAACGTAGTGGATTTTAAAATAAAAAAAGAACAATAATTAGGGAAACGAAAAGTTACAATCAGAAAAAATCTTTCAGTTAAGGAAGAAGCAACTGCTTTTTACGAAGAAAGTAAAAGAAGGTTACAGCAGGATCGCCACTGGCTTCTATTCTGAGCCATATCTGATAACGTTTCTAGCCGCTGTGTTACACCATCTCTCGGACCCCAGCCAGGGAGTCGTGAAGGACCAACACAAGCCAGCCCTTTGTAGCCTTCTTTCATACGACGACACCATGTCATATACTGACCACCTCTCCGCTTTTTCCAACCAGTCCCAGATTCGCAAATAATGCACGACGTGGAATTCTGTGGGACGACATTCGTAGAATATGTCCAAGCCACCGAAGTCGGTGTTTCAAGATGGTGACACCAATTGGATTGTCGTCTCTGTGCCCGAATACACGATGCCGAACCTCTGCATTACTAACATGGTCTTGCCACTGGATGTCAGCAATCCTTCGGAGACAACGATGATCGAACACAGAGAGTCGTCTAACATCCTCAACTCGGAGAGGCCAGGTTTCACAAGCATAGAGCAAAACTGCTCTCACCAACGCGTTGTAGATCCAACCTTTTACAGCCAGACTAACATCACGAGGGCGCCAAAGATGGCCCAGATTGGCATAAGCCGCTCTGGCTTTCACTATACGCGCATCGATCTCATCACTCACGCCACCACCAGCACTTATGCAGCTACCTAGATACACGAACTTCTCGACTACTTCTATCTGCTCACCACCCAGAGTGAGTACAGGATTAGAATCCTGCCAGTCTTGTAGAAGTACTTTGCACTTCGAAGGTGCAAAGCACATACCATACCTACGGACATTGATTGCCAACTGATTAAGTGCGGATTGCATGGCTTGGGCGTTCTCGCACAGTAAGACAATATCATCCGCATACTCAAGGTCGAGAAGTCTTTCTCCAGGCAACAGATCCACATCACCATTACTTACATCCACTAGAGCTGTTTCCAGAATGTCATCGGTGGCAAAGTTGAAGAGGAATGGTGAGGTTGGGCAACCCTCTCTGACCCCACTGCTTGAATGGAACAACGGAGAAAGGTGGTTGTATGCCCTCACTCTGCCTGAGGTGTTTGTATATAGGGCTTTTAGGATGTTAATAAACTTCTCAGGCACACCCTTCTTCAATAGACAATCCCAGAGAACAGTTCTGTCGAACGAATCGAAAGCAGCCCTGATGTCAAGAAACACTGCGATTGTTGGCCTTTGATAAGTATGGCGGTGTTCTAACATTTGGCGGAGAGTGAAGATATGATCAATACATCCTCGACCGGAACGAAACCCAGCCTGCTCCTCGCGAGTCAATCTTTCTCGGGTTTTGAACAACCTACGAAGTATGAAAAAGTCAATAGCTTGGATACAATCGGAAGTAGACTTATCCCCCGATAGTTGTTATAGGAACGACGTGAACCCTTTTTAAAGATAGGGACAACTATCGACTCATTCCATGACGTTGGTACACTCTCTAGTTCCCAGAACTTTTTAAACAACGTCGTCAGTCCCTTAGTCAGAAAGTCACCACCATCTTTAAAAAGAGCCGAAGGTAAGTCATCTGGGCCCGGTGATTTGTAGCGTTTCAAGAGTTGGAGTTCTTTTCGGACTTCCGCCTCATTTGGTGGATCAGTCTTCACCGGCCATGGAGGGCAGGACAGTCTGACCGCTGTTGCCGAGCAGCAGGCCAGTTGAACTGCCCTTCGAAGAATTCTGCCCATCGTCCAAGACGTCAATGGATGTTAGTGATTGACGTTCTGTCATCCTCGCAGATTGTTTCGCTCACACCAGACTTCTTGCTGCCAGTGGCTCGGATGAGTTGGAAGAGCTTCCGGTAATTGCCAGATGCAGCTGCTGCTTCCAGCTCTTTAGCACGCTCCGACCACCAGGCTTCTTGGTCCTCACGCAAGCTTTGCCCAATTTCAGTATGTAAAATCCTTCGTTTGTGGTCAAACTCACGGTCACCCAGAGTAGATCGACGGGCTTTAACGAGTTGTAATGAACCAGAAGAAACCCAGTGCTTATAAGCGGGACGTTTTGCGAACTCACAATAGACTACCCGCCATTTTCATGGCGTCATGCAATTGCGACCGATGCTCATCTATACTTTTCGGTGGAATGGTAGCTAGCCTAGAAGCTAGCTCGGTTCGATACTCAGTAGCAACAGAAGTTGCAACCAGCTTGCTAACATCAATCCTTTGGTGGCGGTCACTTTGTTGGCCACTGAAAAGTAAGGTGAGATTGGAGCAGACGAGGGCATGATAAGTTTCCAGACAGGTACTCCAAAAGGAGCGGCAGTCTTGTACACAACCACGCCAGCGGTAGCTGATCGCGATGTGATCAACCTGATTCCAGGCTTGAAATGCAGAGGGAGTACGCCAGGTGGCACATCGGCGATGACTGTGCCGAAAGTTAGTGCTAGCCAGAAACAGGTTGTGGTCTGTGGAAAGTTGCAGTAGACGTTCCCCGTTATCTGTCCTGCGACCAACAAGTCCCCATCGGCCACCTAAACGACTCTCTTCTGTGCCTAGACGCCCGACCTGAGCATTCAAGTCTCCAGATAGTACTACAATATTTGTCGAACGCACTTTCTGGAGAAGAACAGATAACTCGTGGTAAAATTCATCCTTGATTGCATCCGGGCTGCAATCTGTCGGGGCATAGGCGTTTCTCACGCCAATTTCTTCTCTTTTTGATGGAACTTTCTAATCTAACAGCACATGACCGGCTGTTAATGGGGATCCAGGTGATTAGTGCTGCTTCAGCTCTAGCGCTTAGTGCGACACCAACGCCAGCAAGGCCAGACGAAGATGCCACAGGGTCCCCGGATAAACGTACGTAAAACAAGCTTTTTGAAGCGACATATGGAGAGCGAATTTGTAGTACTTCACCAGAGTCTTGAATACGGGTTTCGGATAGACAACAAATGTCAATATTAAGACTTTCCAAAGACATAGCCAGCCCTATCTGTTGTCCGACCTGCATAAGTGTGCGAACGTTGAAGGCAGCCAGTTCGAATGGTGCACGTGGTTTCAGAAAAACTGCTTCAGTACTCTTATTTGACGGTAACATACAATTTTAAACCAGGCAGTGACTCGAGAACGTTTAGATAGAGCCGAATGTCCACCATAGGCGAGCTGCTGTATAAGTCGAAAAATAAGGATGGACAGAGTGGAAATAAAAGAGAGTGAATAAATGACGTGGTAAATAATAATAATAATAATAATAATAATAATAATAATAATAATAATAATAATAATAATAATAATAATGTTAATTGTTTGACGATAAATCGCAGCGTGAACAGAGTTTTCAGAGAAGACCATCATTCTCATTATATGTGTGTGTGGGCTGTGATACTGCCCGGGTGCCCAAACTGAAGCAGGTGGTTTTCTTAGGGGGCCACACCCCGAGCCTTCGACCTGAACCTCTGACCCACAAGGCAGTGGAGCATCGTGAGGAGATGCAGTCCCATGGAAGCCGGTGACCAAGAAATAGGTTCGTACGTCATTTGTTCTCGCAGGATACTGGAGCCCATGTGCACCATTGATTTGAGATCCGGTTATAGCGCCGGACGTTCGCCGCACTAACCCAGGTTCGTATCCTGGCGGCGACACCAGCCCCCAAATGCCCTGGTATGGCCGAGAGTGGGGTGGGTTCGCCCTCCCTCTCGAAATACCTTCACACGGCCACGCGTATATAGCCTCTGCCAGGGAAGTCCTACTCACTGCCTTCTCGTGGCGGTGTTGTTTACGAAAATGAGAGGACGAAAAGCGAACGTCCTATCTGTAATGTTAGTTAGCGAACCTGATTCTGAATGATTAAAGATGATTGATGTAAACCCTTGGTTAATTTAGTTGTATTTACTTTCGATCATTAATAATGGGATTCTACAATTTTAGCAAAGCTAGTGTTCGCCTATAAGAATTCGAACATTCATCTATGTTGACTCTAACTATCTAATGAATTTACATCATTCAGATCCACGACCAAAAGCTTTAACTCTGCAGTGCTAAGTATTGGTTGTACAGTATATTCTATGAGCTAAAAACCGTTTAATTGTTCATAGCATGGAATAAATAGAGCTACTACCTCATGTTGTCGATCATTTCAGTGTTCCTGCTTGACTCGGATTTTTCAGTATTATCAAACTCGATTTATTGAAACATATTAACATTGGTACAAATCAAATGGTTTGTGTTGGGTCTGGGATACTGTCCGGGAGCCCAAACCGAAGCAGGTGGTTCTCTTAGGGGGCCACTTCTCGAACCTTTGACGTACAGGTCTAATCCCCAATGCAGTGGGGCAACGTAAGAAGATGCAGTCTCATAGTAACTGACGACCAACAACAGGTTTATACTTCTTTTGTTCCTTCAGGATCCTGGAGTCCATGTGCACCATGAGGGTTTCCCAGCTCCCCTGGGTGGATCCTCCATTGCCATCAACCCGGTCAAAGCGCCAGTCATTCGCTTTTTGTCTTCTCAATTTCGTAAACAACATCCTCTCTTTGAGAAGGCAGTGAATAGGACTTCCTTGGAAGTGGCTGTATACTCGCGGCCATGTGAGTGCATTTCAAGAGGGAGAGTTGACTATTGCCACTCTCGGTCGTACCAGGACAGTTGGGGGCTTTATTAAACTCTGAAGTAGAACCTAGAATGTAGTCACCGACTAGTATTAAGAGATTTGTTGCTCTAGATTATTTTGACAGGCTTTTCCTTGCTCTTGAAGAAAAGTACTTGCTGCCAGGATAATTAGTGTTTGTGAGGGTATTTTGCATACTTATTTTTCTGAAATTTATTTCCGAGGGAAATTATTTTAAGATGCCACTAAAGTTGGTAACTAGTTCTGTTCAATTTTAGTTGACGCGATCAAAAAATTGTTCAAACTTTCTTTTGCTGTTTCATGGCTATACTTTACATATAAATCTTTCAATCATTACTGTACATAAAAAAAGAATAGTTCAATTCTCAACTTATACTTCTCTTTATAATAATAGTGCTCGTCGTTCACATTCTAAATCTCCTCATCGTTCACGACATTCAAATAGAAGAGCTCATCAAAGAAATCCCGATGCATCTAGTGATTATCGTGGTCATCGTAAAAAGTCCAGGTGAATTAGTTAGTTCTCTGGTATTTATTTTTATAGTTTTACTGTTCCCTTTTATGTATTTCCTATGAGCTTTAAAGCGGATTTTTTTCAGTCTTATGCATTTTCCTGTTTAATAAAATTTCAGTTTATTATTACTATTGTTTTTCATCATCCGGTAAATATCACGTATTATGATATCAGATTATTAGACAGGTTTTTCAGTAAACCTTATTCCCATTTTCTTACACTATAATCAGAATATGATAACTACTGGTTGGTGGCGGCCTGCTTGAATATCTGGGGTACCTGTTCCTCCCATCTAGATATTTCGTCAAGTTATCTGTTTTCTTGTTTGTTTTAACACACTATTATGTCTATTGAGCTCACAACCTATTCAAGCGCGTTTATGAAAAGTTTACAATCTTTCGCTGTACGGATTACAAAAAGGTACAACCAGCGACATCATGGTGGTTTGCAATATACATTGAAACGAATGAACATTATTCAGATGTCGATTATCGAACTCCTAACATCTAACTGGCCATCACTCAATATTTATCGTCAGGATCGATCAAGATATAAGAAAAGGAAACTCGTTGAAATACTTTATGCTGAGAATTCAATATTGTACCAAAAATATAATGTTGAATAAAGCTTATAATAATATCAATATCAATATCAATTATTTTCACCATAATTTTCAATTATAACTATTTAATTGCACGGCTGTGAAAAATTCTGTCATTTAAGCAACTGCATACTGTGAATATTTGCGATGTTTAGCTTACATACTGTTTCCACTTTTCTAAGGTTTTTAACTGACAGTGAAACTCGTTCACTGTCATAAACTTTTTCACTGATTTTTTGGGTATTTGATGTGTGTTTAACTATTGCTATTCTGTCAGTCAGTCAGCTGCAACGTAGGACCAGGCACGTATATGCATCGGTCCAAGTTGCCATACCGCATTAGCACAACAAGATGAACACCGGATTCATAGAAGTAGTTAATTCAGTGGTGGTAATATATAGAAGAAAGAGTGTGTATAAGGAGATAGTACAGGAAGATAGAATTAGTTCCTAGAAAGAAATATTTGAAGTGATTTTAATCTCTTAGTTTAAAGGAAGACAGAGAGTGTATACACCGACGCCATTGTGATAGATAAACTATGAACCTTTGTTACGTGTTTGTCAAATTGATGAGATCCTAAAGTCTTTATTTTTAATCTTACTTCAAGAATAGTAAGACTAGATTCTAACAATCTGATTTCTGTAAAGGGATGCTCAACTATTCTGTTTAAACTAATGTCTTTTTATAAAATCAATATTACTTTTTTTGAATCAGGAGTAAATGAAATCAAAAACATCTTATCTTATCCGTCACTTATTCTGTATATTCCTTTGCTTTAACGTAGTTTCTATTCGTTGTCAAACCCACTTGAATTTTGTTTGGAAGTGGAAGTATTATCACTTACATTTTAATTTACAAATACTAGATCACCTCATGGGAAGGAATCCAGATCCCCGTCGCCCCACTACAGACATCGATCTAAGGATCATTCTCCAGCTAACAAATCGTCTTATCATAGAGACCGATCACGAGCTGATCATATTTCACCTAAAAGGTATTCTCATGGTTCGAATAGCCCAAATTACGAAAATAAACGACTCAAAGATCCTCCTTCAGAACCTATTGTGGGCGATATCTATCGTGGTAGAGTTACAAACGTGCTAGCATTTGGAGCTGTTGTTCAGTTAGATGGACTTCGTAAGAGATGGGAAGGTCTGGTGCATATTTCTCAGCTACGTCAAGAAGGTCGTGTAGCCAGTGTTGGCGATGTTGTTAATCGTAATCAAAAGGTAACTTATACATTTTTCGACTTAACAGTTAGTGCTCCTCTGACTGCTTACAAACTATGATAATAATAATGACAAAATCGACAATATTATTGATTTCGAGATATTTTTAACCATGAACTGAGATTTATTCTGGAATCATGAGCAGACAAAGAGCAGTGGAATTCCGCATAGTATACTGTTATAACGCCATACATAATCTAACCCAAGATTTTTTGTTTAATTTTAGTAGCCGTGGCAGTGTAAAGGCCTGTTAAAAAAATACACTTAGTTGTGATATCCTGTTACCGTTGGAAGAATTTTCCACTGTACCGCGTGTTAGTAATTCTTTTTTCAGACAGTAACTATCATACTGCTCAAGTTGACTCAACGTTCTAGCAATCATTTTTCAGGGATAATATCCAAATATGTGACTAATATGTTTATATACCAAACTATGAACCACATTTACTGTTTACGAATTGTCGATAGTGTTTCGTTAAAGCGTTATTTAACTAGCTAACCTTGCAGTTAAAAGTCAAGTTCTTGGACCACTGGGTCACAGTCTTCCCAAATTATTTAATACTAAACCCAGTACTAATTAAGGGCTTATCTTGCAGACTGTTTCAACGTTTTCTGTCATAACACTTGGTCAAAGACCATCTTACTGATTTGTTATGTCTTTTGCATGTATAGTAGCCTTCTCACCTGACGACATGCTTTACGTCCACTGAGTGTTGTATGTCCAATATTGTTCTCATTGTTCTTGTTGCAAAAAGAATATGAATTTATCCTGTATTCTAACCAGAAATCTTCTCTTTCTTAAAGGTCTGGGTAAAAGTTATCTCGTTCACTGGTACTCGAACTGGTCTTAGTATGCGTGAGGTGGATCAAGAGACTGGTGCCGATCTGAATCCTTCACGCTTGCCTGAGAAGAAATCCAATAATTCTAGTGAATCGTTAGATAAAGATAAAATACGCCTCGTAGATGAAGAGGATATCGATGGTGTTCGGAATCCTGATCGTCCTGCAGCTAACTCTGGACCAGGAATTTTCGGTAGACGTAAAGAAATGGGATTTGAGGAAGACATTGAATCTGGTCCCAAACGGTATGCTTGATATTTCTTTTCTATTAATGAATGTTATTTTTGTTATTGTTAATAAGGTTATCAGTTTTAGTTTGGAATAAACCACTTGTACAGTGTACTTACTATTCTTTTATTCTCAGTAACTATAATAATATGGTGATAATGTGTACATTTATATATTTTTTAGGAAGGTTCAACGAATTAGTAGTCCAGAACGCTGGGAATTAAAACAAATGATGTCAGCTGGTGTAATTGAAAAGACAGAACTACCTGATTTCGATGAAGAAACTGGACTTTTACCACGTGAAGATGAAGAATCTGACGAAGATATTGAAATTGAACTTGTTGAAGATGAACCACCATTTCTTAAAGTTTGTGTACAAACCACTAAACTCTTTCTAATGATTATAGTAACTGATTAAAGTATAATCAACAGTTGTGGTTTTTCAGCTTATCAAATTTATTTTTCAACAGAAAGCAATAAATTTTTTTATTTGAATGAAATTTAACTAGATACGATGTGAGAATAAAAGATGAATAATTGTTGGGTAGAAAAATTTATAGAATTTGCAATATTCTAGCGTCGATTTTTATCCATATCAGCTGGTATCAAAAATTATTTCTTTTTCCCATCTGAAGGATAGAAACTAAGTGACTTACAGTCCCTCTCACACACTGCTTTAGATAATCAACAATTGACTTCACGGTCTTGATTTCTTTTCGTAATTTGATCACTGGTATAACTTAGTTACCTAGTACAGACTTGTGTCTTCAAGTTACATTTTATATGTAAAGGTAAGTAATACTATATGGTTACCCAAACCTAAATAGATGGAGTAGGGTTCGAATCTTCAGTCCGGTAGTTAATCCTCATACAATTCTTGAGAATCCTTAATAAATATGATATAAACACATGATACCGATTTTTTTTATGGATTGGATGAAAATGACGTTCACTACTCTCTGATGCTCTATGGATATAAACACCTGATCAAGGTTATTCTCAGGTAGCTTACTTTTATAGTAAAATAAAATATTCTGTTTTTACAACGGATACATTATTACCATTAGTATTGTTACAGGTCGATATATATATAATTATTTGATTCATATCTAAGTAGTTTTTATATTTCAGTTTAATATTATGTTTATTAATTTTATATTAATTATACTTTCCAGGGTCATGGTCGACATGCAATGGATTTGTCTCCAGTTAGAATAGTCAAGAATCCAGACGGATCATTACAACAAGCTGCTATGATGAGACAAGCTCTACAAAAAGAAAGACGTGAAATGAAACAACAAGAAAGACAAAACCAAGTAACAGCTGAACGAGAGACTGCTCCTGAACGAATGGGTAAAGATTGGCATGATCCAATGGGGTTCACATGTAAGTAATTTCTTTTTAGGGTGTAATTAGTTCTTTACTGACTTTGATGTAGCTCAGTGTTGGTTACAATACAGCAGACGGCTTTAATCCTTGTCTACCATTAGATCTTTATTTTCGGACTTATTATATTTTAGATCGACTCTAAAAAAACCACACGGCTTTGTCAGGATAGAGAAACAATAAGATCTAGCTAAATTAAAGATCCCCATTCTAGGCTTTTGGACAATGAGGTAGAAATTTATCTACTTCCAAGTTTGATTCTTTCAGCTACTATTTTAGAATAATTTTGTTGTTTAAAAATGTATCATAAGAGTTAATTGTTTATTAAATAAAAAAATATTCGCGGTCACAATTCAGGTGTTATCTCTTGATATTACTACTGCTCAGTGAGGCGTAAGGTACTCGAAGATGCAGTCGTCTTGGTTGCTGGTGTGTGTTTCATCAGTGCCTGACATGCTTGTTATAAAATCATTTCACTCGGTCATATAAATTTTATAATTAAGGTATTAATGGTTTTTCCTCGATTTCATCGGAGTATAAATTATAATAAATTACATTTGATAAATTTTGATTTTACTACATTCATATTAATACTTGTTATTAGTCAAATGTAAACATTTTGATAACATACGACATCTTTTCGTATCACATTATTCTATGTATCTGATATATTTCAGTGGACAATGAACCACAGTTTTCAGGTTCACGTTCAGCTGACCAGTTTAAAGATGTACCGGAATGGAAACGTGCTGTTCAAGGGGGTACGAGAACTGGAGCTGTTGGTAAAAAGATTGTACGCTCTATTCTTGAACAACGTCAAGCTTTACCTATATTCAGACTAAAAGATGAGCTAATGAAGGTTGGTTTCCCAAGTTTTAATACGTAAAGATAGTAGAATGTTATAGTTCACATTCACAAACCCCTCATATAATAATGATAATTATTTACTTACTAGTGACTAATTTTAAGCAATTTCAGGAGCTTTAGTGAGGAACTGTAACCAATGGAGTTCACCCACCAATGACGTTGAAATGTGGTTGTGGAATATTACGAACCGATTAAAGCTAGAATGGTAACGAATTTGACGCCGACTCAGTTGTCTAAAGGTTAGGTACTCAACGTGAAACCTAAAAGCCCTGGATTCGATCCCTGAAAAGGGGTCACGGATATGCACTGCTGAGGATTCTCATACTAGGACAAAACAGCTATCCAGTGCTTCCTGGTTTACAGTGACTATCTAACTAAGGTTAGCCCGTGATTTAAAATATAGAATACATAATACTGAACCAGAAAATATATGGGTGTCAGTGTGATTGGTAGAGATGATAAAGGGACGTGAGAAGGGTTAGTCGTGGAGATAAGAGAGTTATTAGGAGATGTAGGAAGGATTTGAATGTGACCAACTTGGTCTCGTGTGCTGTTACGGGTATGAGGGCTGATGTCACTTTCCGGTATTTCTTGTGTAACCTGAAAAGGAAATCGGATTAGTGTTGGTCTTGAAGACCTGGGAGCTTGACCGCAGAGCCCAAGGGACAACTGCTTAAGGCCGGTCGCGCACGGCGTTTTTGTTGGAGGTTTTTAATGTGTTAGCTCCGTTCTTCAAAGGGCCTTACCGCCGGAGACGGAAATCCGTGAGAAGGCAGCATCGCTGCAGATGCTGGTTGTCCGAGGGAAACACCTTACTGCTGCCACACCTCTGTACAGTCAGCAGTACGACTTTGCCCTAAAACCTTGGATTTGTTGCTTTTAGTCTTACCGTTCTCCAATCGACCTACCTGGCATGGTAGAACCTGCAGGAACATGTGTTCCAGCCAATATAGCTCGGTTGGGTCATCATGATAGGCAAGCCCGACCACCACGTCAAGGTAGCAGCTACGTTCTATAAAAATAAATAAATTTATGAGTGATACAAATTAGTCTTTTTCCGTTTGCGTATTTTTAGAAACATGTGCAATTACAAATTCCGCAGACTTTAATGCATATATAGTTTTGACTGTCGAAATGAATTCTCAAATTCATATTCAAGTCATATGCTAAATTATAGTAGCATAAAATGAACTTCATTTTCATTCTTACATATTTTTAATTGTGACTGATCTCATTCAAGCGAATGGTTAATGAACAATATAGAGGTAATCACTTTTTTCCGTGACTTACTTAGAGAATACATTGTTTTTTCATAAGTTTTAGTTAGGAAAATGTAGTTTTTTCAGTCTTTCAGACAGACAAAAAATGGATAAAAACAGTTGTTTGCTAGTATTATTATTGACAAGAGTGAACATCATATATCACAGTTTGATTATAAGTAGAAATTTCCAGTTTTTCGGCTTTTGACTGAGCCAATAGCTGAAGTAATGTGCGTATAGTATACTACCTATGCAGCTTTATTATTCTCATGGAGTAATTTGTTTTCTATGTTCAGGATAAAACGGGGACTAGTCATCTGTTCAATACCTCGAGTTTAAGTATTTTTCCTCTAGTACCATTAATTATGACTTATTAAACGATCGTGAAGCGATAATATTACACTTTTATTGAATAATTAATACTGAACTTATTCATGAAGTTTTGTCCCAAAATTGCTTCCTTAATTTTTATGTTACATACTCATATCGTTTGCATGCAATCAATAATGTCATGTTTTTCTTTTAATGAATACAGGCGGTGAATGATAATAAAGTATTGATTGTTATTGGAGAAACTGGTAGTGGGAAGACTACCCAAATAACACAATATCTAGCTGAAGCAGGTTATGTCAACACTGGTCGCATTGGATGCACTCAACCACGTCGAGTAGCAGCTATGTCTGTAGCTAAACGAGTACGTTTTTCAATTTCTTGTTTATTTAGTATGATTTACTTTAAGTTTGTTTGCAAGTTCGAAACATACTATACCTAACCCAATACAGGCTTAAACGTAAAGAAATGTGATTAAAAACCTATTACATGAACTTATATTTGGTTAGCGAGTTGTATTTATATTATTCAATACAGATTTATTTGCTATAAATTTTGATGTATAACATACTGAGTTGTATGGTCTGGGTAGAATTCAATGTTTAGATTTAGTAAGAATCTTTATCCTAGTAGTAAAGAATCGAACTCTTAGACATCAGTTCATAAGGAACATTACAGTCATTTAAACACTAATAATATCCCAATATTACTGATTAAAATCGGACTATAAAACAAACATTGTGGAAGTTCGACACAATTTTAGTGTAGTTGTAAACTTTTGTTAATTAAACTTATTATGATTTGTTCTTGTATCTTTAATTACCGTTTACGTCAATGTCCAATGTTATTGAGTTCATAGTCGGTTTTAGCAGTTGTCTTTGGTATTTAAAAGAAAAAAATAGCGTAAAAACAAAATATTTTGTTTGGTACGTTAAGCTTCTTTAAAATGTTTAAGCGAATCCAAATCATTAACTTGAAATGTTGATCAGCGGTACCTTCACTATCGATTTTTCTTCATAACATAAAAATATCAATAATTAAGATCATGAGTCAGTTGAAGCTAGACCACCATGGAAAACCTTCAACTGACTCATGATCTTAATCATTGAAATTACTACAATCTCCACAACACCCCTTCTGATAATAAAAATATCATTTTCTATTATTGATTTTCACCTTTCTAAAGTTTCCGTTTTTATCGTCGATATTTGTTTACAACATGATGTTATTACCTTGTAGGTGCTTTAATCGGATGACGCATTTTTGTTTTATGTTACTTTACTTTCCTCTACCCTACTTTCATCTCATCTACACTACCCTGCTTTGCTCAGTTCTATAGTTACATGAAACAAACTTTCATAGATGTTTTATTTTGCAAAAAAGGATTTATTTATTTAATTATCTTTGTTTGTCCGCCATATTTTAAACAACATTGACTCTTTTCTATTTTTCTAGGTATCTGAAGAATTTGGTTGTCGTCTAGGGCAAGAAGTTGGTTATACGATACGTTTTGAAGATTGTACTGCGCCAGAGACAAAAATCAAATACATGACAGATGGTATGCTGTTACGTGAATGCCTTATTGATCCGGATTTACGCCAATATTCAGTAATTATGTTGGATGAAGCACATGAACGAACAATACATACAGATGTATTATTTGGTTTATTGAAAAAAGCTATTCAAAAACGAGATGATATGAAGTTAATTGTCACTTCAGCTACTCTTGATTCAGTCAAATTTTCTCAGTACTTTTTTGAAGCTGTAAGTGTTAAAACACTAAATTCTATTTTGATTCAAATCATTTATTCAAGACACTAATCTATGAGAAATTATGCATGTATAACTAATGTGCGATTGAAAGTGATAACGTAATCTCATGTCATTTATGTGGTGATTGATTGCCTTAACGCAGTTATTATTACGTATTCATAACTCTAATACCTGCTTGATCTCTTGATGAAACTATTGTATCAAAGGTAATTTTGAAGCAATACAACATTCAGTGAAGTAATAGCACTCACTCAAACGACATTGAAAGCAGTTAAGCAAATTGTGTTTTGTTCAATGTTTACTTGATTATCACTTGCATTTGTTTGGTTAAGTTTTGACCAATCAAACCGCACTTTATCCTGGAGTATTTTTAATTGTTTGTTTCTTTTTTGTATGATTTTGTTAGTTAGTTAAACACAACAACATTGCTACAAAGGGGAACCAAAAAATATATGCACGACGCAAAATTGTGTAACGGCTGGGATTCTGCCCGTGCCCAATCTGAATCAGGTGGTTTTCTAAGGAGGCTACTCCCTGAGCCTTTGAACTAGAGATTGTTATGTGTTGAAGGCTATCACTAGTTCACTAAAGGCTGCGAACGAGATCGAGATCAAGGTCCAGTAAGCTAGCTATGACACGTCCCAGCCCCAGCTATCTAGAGCGAGAAGTCCAAGCTTGGAATGAAAAATATATTCTGCAACAACCAGAAAACGAGCGAGTTTCGTAGAAAATACACTCGTTTATATATTGATTGTACACCCGTTTTGATTAATAATTAGAATGAAATCACATATATAAGAAATACTCACAGTTATAACAAATCATAAGCTGAGTATAGTTCATAGTCAATGGAATACAAGAATATTGTATATTATACAAATTAAAATATCATACGAGAATTTTCAGGAAATATATATAATTAGTCTAAATTAGATATCACATTTCTTTAAGTGTATAACAGATATAATCTAACAGTATAAAGCATAAACTAGAACATTGTTAGCAATTCACATTTCCACTAAAGATTATGGTAGTTTTGGTCAGAGTTTTAAATTTTTTAAAAGAAGCCACTTGGATTGTCGCACAGTTTCGAAAAAAATAACCTTTGAAGAAAATAGCACTAATTAAGTATAGGATAATTCAAAAGCAGTTTGTATAAATAAACCAGGATGATGGCTTTATCCTAGTACAAAATTCAGCTACGTGTGCACGTGCTATACTGAAAGGTTCGATTTCACAAAAAATGATCACATCAAATAATTCTGATAATGAGTAATGTAGTGCACATGCACATGTGGTATTCATATCGGTAGTTAATGATGTGACGGTTCATTTATTTATTTAAACACCAAATATATATATGCACCACACTTTATCATTCGATTTATGTGACGGTCGGGATACTGTCCTGGCACCCAAACCGAAGCAGGGGGCTCTCTTAGAGGGCCACTTCTCGAGCCTTTGACCTACAGGTCTAATCCACAAGACAGTGGGGGCAACGTAAAGAAATGCAGTCCCATGGTAGCCGGTGACCAACAACAGATTCATACGTCATTTGTTTATTCAGGATCCTGGAGCCAATGTGCACCATTGGTTTGGGATGAGAGTTTTCCAACTCCCCTAGGTGGGTCCTCCTTACCTACTAACATGGTTTAAATGCCAGACATTCGCCTTTTGTCTTCTCAATCTCGTAAACAGCATCCTCTCTTCGAGAAAGCAGTGAGTAGGATTTCCATGGAGGTGGTTGTATACTCGTGACCATATTAGAGAATTTCGAGAGGGTGAACGAACTCTCTCCATTCCCTGCCATACCAAGTCATTTGGGGGCCTTCGATGTAATAGCTACAATAACTTATATGTTAGAATGTGGGTTTATGGAGATTGTAGTAATTTTTCTTAATAGTTGAATCCATGGGTCGATCTAAGCTAAACCACCATTGAAAACCTGGAAGCACAGGACGGCAGTGTTGGATAGAGACAGGTATCCACTTCAGACAATGGATGAATGGTTGCACAAGATAATGTATCGATTGAAGTTAAACATTAACACTGTTAGATGCCGGCTCAGTGGTCTAGAGGTTAAACGGTCGCGCTCGAAATCGAAGATTCTGGCTTGTAGCTTAGGTCGACTCATTAAAAAAATAACTTATTCAACAATACTAGCATATAAAACAATGGATCGTGGATTTTGTTTTCAGTGAGATCTGAACTTGTAAATATAGTTGAAAATGATTCATAAATTTCATTATTTAATACTATCACATATACTTCTAATATCCATGAATTTATCAGGTAATGCATAGTTCTTAAATAAGAACTGGTGTACACTTTATGTGCGAATAGACTAAAAGTGTAGATATTTTAATAAATCCATATAACTTTAAGTCTCGGTTTCCAAGATTATTTATCACTTGATCTATAAAATAATTTTAATGATAATAATGACTTATAAATAAAATTTGAGCTGTTTGATTATCGAATATTTGAATACATTTCCGTTATTTGAGTCAGTTGTTAATTTATTGAGCTTATTGTAAAATACAATACAATGCTTAAAATATCTTAGTATAACTATGAATTCATGAAATATTTTGAACAGTAATAATTAGTAAATACATAACTCATATAAACTGAATAATATTGTCTGTACGTGATAATTTTTTATTACAAGTGTAATCCGACTAACGCTCGAATGATAAATGTTTAAGGCGGTAATTAAGTGTTGTAATTCTGTGGTGTTTGCTGCTTATATCGACATAAGTAGTCTATAACGCTAGTCAGGAATAGAATGTCTGGCATCAGAAGGTCAAAAAGATCAAGGAGAGGATAACGGAAACAGAAAGCAATTGGTATTTCAATGTAGGAACAATGAAGTCTGAGACGATTGACTGATACTTGCAAAAGAAACAATCAAGTTTGAGACAATTGATTGACATTTTGCAAGTGAAGTGCTTACTGTATGGTTCTCAGATTTCACTAGAATGTTCTGTAAGTTTGTGTTGAAATATATTCGATTGTCCCCACTTGTGTTCTCCTTCACTATAATTCTAGTACTTAGTATTCCTTAGATTCAGTTCTCCACTTCGTTGGTCTCAAAATTAGAACATGAATTAGAAGTGAATGAAAACATTTTCCTAAAATTCAAGCAATAGAGGATAATAATGGTAAAAATATTGGCGTTTATATAAAATTTACAGAAGACTCTTAATGTCTTCTCAACCCATCCTTTCGCGTTGATTGGTTGGAAACAAACAAATCAACGTGCCCTGAATTGATCTTGATTCTAGTAAACAATAAAACTAAGATTCTCTATCCTGATAACATTGAGTAAAATAATTACTTAGTGTTAAATAGATGATTAGTTTATAGTAAGAAAATGATACAATATAATAGATATCTGACTGTGCCTTTCTATCAACACATCTAAATGTATAACAGATGTTTTACTCTTATAGCACACCATTTTAAACAATTCACTAACTAGACATAGGTTGATGTACAGAGATGACATTGCAAGCAGTTAGTCGTAGTTGGGTAAACTACATGCTCACATACTCACTTACCAACTATCTAATTATATGCTAATATATGTATTACGTCTGTTTGGGCTTGTATTACTTATCAGTTGGTAAGACAAGCGTATTTAAAGTAGTTTGAAACTACCGATTCACCGCCTTCTTGCTAATATATAACTGTTCATTAAGGTTGTTTTCTGATAGAACCGTTAGTGAGTGTGATTAAATCAGTTGACAGTAATCCCCGTGTATTCCTGCTTCGGTTTGGGCACCCAAGCAGTATCACAGCCCTCACACAAATCAATTGAGATTCGTGTGGCGCATACGTATTTGGTGCATCCTTGTATCAATACCTATGTGTTAAAATAAATAATAATCCCCGTGTAAATGAATTCTATGAGACCTTTGTATTCCTACCATTTTTTACTTTCCAGCATGCTTATACTTCGACTAGTGTTTCTTTTACAACGGCTAGTAGGTTATCTCTAAATCACTAAGTGTAAGCATTCATTATATGTATAAAATAAACTGAATTAATAGACGAACTTAGATTGTTAATGTTTGCTTAAGTTGGCTAAAAATAATCATTGACTACACAAACCAAATACATTTTCATATACTCATCTATGGATATTATATGAAGGATAGTAATAATAACCGGTTAGCTAAATTATAGTAGGTAGAAAGGTTTTAAATCGTAGCCTGACAGTTAAGATATAAATATTCTCAATATTTAAATTACTATAGTTTTCCACATTGCTGAAGACTACTGATTGACTCATTGACTGTTATTATTTATTACAATTATCCTTTGTCTTCTTTCTCTATTAAAATATTTATTTAGCCTATATTTACTATACCTGGTCGTACATATCCTGTTGAAATATTGTATAGTTTAGAACCGGAAAATGATTATCTAGACGCTGCACTCAATACAGTTATGCAAATTCATTTAACTGAACCTCCAGGTATTTGATCTTTTTACTTTATACACAGAATTATGATATATACATGTATATGCACGTTAAATTCTGTGGAATCAATAGATACATTGACATTTAACATTGCATGAAACTATTCAAACTTTATTATTAAAACGTTAAATTATTTCTTTGTGTTACAGCCTATTGCTAACGGAAGTTTATTTTCATGAGGAATTTATGCTTTTTTCTTTTTGCTTGTATAATTGAAAACAGTTTGAACAGGCGTTTATTTTATGTACTGAATTCATACATTTAACATTACCCAGTGTAAAAAATGATCGTGAATTAATTGAATATGTTGTAGTATTGTAGTAAAATTTCATTTTAGTATTTAGAACCCTGTTATTTATTAATTTGATTAGCTACAGTTTTTATTTTTTAGCTACTAGTCAATTGCAAGTAGTTTGTTAATTTTTTTGAAAATAATAATGATAATAACTTTCAAATGTCAGTTTTCGATTATCGGTAATACTTTTGAAGTTTATATGTTGTTTATAGGCTGGAATACATGCTAATTAAATGTATAATTAGGTTTTTTAAAAGCAATTTAAACTTTGTACAAATTTTTAGAATTACAATAACAAATAGTTCTATCAAAATCGACCAACAGAATATTAAGCATAAAATATGGAGTAGTAGTATTAGTTGTAGTCGCCCTAGTCTATGTGACTGAAAACTGAGTAACTGTTTATAAACTGATTCCTATGATAGAAAAATGTCAACTTACTTTTGATCTAGTTCTAAGTTTCAATGTTACTATTCATACGGGTACCTTTCTATTGACTCTATTTTTCCTTTTAAGCATTGTTTTGAGTTGGAAATGAGATTTTCGGTCATAAAGAATCTGTTGAATGTACAAATGCCTAAATGATCTCAGCACATCATTTTGTTCTGAATCTAACTTTTTATGTATAAACTTCCATGTGTGTTAGCTTATTGCAGTTAACTAATGATCAATGTTATAAACACATTGATATCTTGCTTGCTCTCTAGTAGTGGTATTATTACATATTGTTCAAGTCAGTTAACTATTGTTTATCTGTTTAAATATCGTCACTTGCTTTGCTATGAAAAACATATTACACCAGTGAGTTAACTGCTCTTATGAATCTGGTGTTCGCCTTGCTGTGCTAATGAGGTATGGCAACTTCGACCGATGCATATATGTGCCAGGTCCTACGTTGTAACTGACTGACTGATCTGATTTGTTAGGAAACACTTCAAGTGTTTATTCGATCAGTTTATTCGAGTCAACATATTATTCCAATGTTATCTCATCCTGTTATGACTGTTGTCAGCATATTCACCCAAAATTCATTGAAGCTGATAGTCTGACTTCATGTAATGATTGATGGTGATGATGTGTATCAGAAATCACTTAACTTTAGAATCTCACTGAAGAGTAACTTTCATATGACAATACACCTATGCATCATAATTTTAGCTATTATTCAGTTATTGTTATTGTTGTACATAATAATAACTTTTTAATACTCTATCACATATATCATGTCCTTTTTATGGTAGTTAATTTAAATCTATAATTATCTTCATTTTTTAAAACGTAATATTTTAAGGAGATATATTAGTATTTTTAACTGGTCAAGAAGAAATCGACTCTGGTTGTGAACTTCTTTATGAACGTATGAAAGCTTTAGGCTCTGAAGTACCTGAATTAATCATTTTACCAGTTTATGCAGCTTTACCATCTGAAATGCAATCGAGAATTTTTGATCCTGCACCTCCAGGCTCCCGTAAAGTAGTGATTGCTACAAATATTGCTGAAACATCTTTAACAATTGATGGAATTTATTATGTTATTGATCCAGGTTTTGTAAAACAAAAAGTGTACAGTAGTAAATCTGGTATGGATCAACTTATTGTCACACCAATTTCACAGGTCAGTTTAAGTTATTACAATTAATAAATTTGTTTTTGATTGAGATCATAAATTGATCGATGTTAGACCACCATTGAAAATTCGGAAGCACTAGACGACTGTTTCGTCTTAACATGGGAATCTCCAGCAGTGTGTACCCGCGACCCCGCACGCGGGATCCGAATTCAGGACCTTCGGTCTTTAGCGCGAACACTTAACCTCTAGACCACTGAGCCGGCATCCAACAGTGTTAATGTCTAACTTCAATCGATCCATGATCTTGTGCAACCATTCATCCATTATTTGAGTTAGATATCTGTCTCTATCTGACACGGATTAGCTCCACTGATCACAGCTTGTCACTAGGACTCCGAGAATTCCCTCATGGAGCCCCCAAATGCCCTGGTACGGCCGAGAGTGGGGAGAGTCCGCTCTCCCTCTCGAAATGCTCTCACATGGCCATGCGTATATAGCCTCTGCCAGGGAAGTCCTACTCACTGCCTTCTCGTGGCGGGGGTGTTGTTTACGAAAATGAGAGGACGAAAAGCGAATGTCTGGCGCTTCAACCGACCCCAAACCAATGGTGTGGTCCCCTAAGAAAACCACCTGTTTCGGTTTGGGCACCCGTGCAGTATCACAGCCCTCACACAAATCAATTGAAATTCGTGTGGCGCATATGTATTTGGTGCCTCCCTGTACCTATACTTATGTGTTAAAATAAATAAATATAATAAATAAACTGATCACAGCTTGTCACTAGGACTCCGAGAATTCCCTCATGGAGCTAGTCACTAGTTAGCATATCGATCAATTCATGATCTCAATCAAAAACTTAACAATCTCCACAATCCCAAACTGATAATAATTCTATATATATAATTTTTTAGTTATTCAAACTTTTTCTAGTTTTATAAAGTTACCTAGTGGATTGTTATAAGGTTTGTGGTGTAAATTGTTTTTTTGAAATTAAAAATAATAAAACTGTGTTCCTAACATATTGACCAGGAGCATTTAGCACAACCAACAATCGATTCAGTTTACTGCACACATGTACATTCGTACCATTGCAGAAAAAATAGATCAACAAGGTGAATAGAGCTTTCGGAATTGAGCTGAAAACATAAACACTATAGAACATTCAGGTGTCTTTTTTTCGAAATATCATTATACTTAAACGTTATGTTCATAAGTAGTGTATATAGGTTTCATTGACTAAATTTTTTGCATATTATTTCCTCCTATTTTTCTTCATCTAATCATGATAATTTTCTGTCTTTCATTTGATGGTAGTTGTGGCAAGTATTTTTTTCTTGATTTATCTACTAGTATTGAAAAATCGCACTATTTAGGTCAGTAAGTCCCTTTCTAGGCTTGAAACTCATCTAGTCAACGAATTCTGCTTTTAAATTAACGTTTATGTGTGTATGTGCTTCCGTTGTTATTGGAATATTTATACTTCGCAAAACTGTAGAAAATCCACTCATAATTGATTAGAAATATTGGTCTGTGGTTTCATTATTCTATCAGGCATGATAGAAGCCTGTGTACAAGGTTGAAATCTGTTGTCATATAATTCGTCTGTGCTCTTGAATTATGTAGATCTAGAATTCTCCACTTCTGAATTGAATGTTTTCCATAGTTACCACATACTGGTCAATATAATTCTTTTGTTTTAATAGTGTTTTGTACTACTTAGAAATAAATAGCTGAATAATGAGAATATGAACGTGGTTGATGGAAGCGGTCTATCTTCATAGATTTTATGGCTCTGAGAATAAAATAATCCAAAAGTGATCTCTTTGTTACTTAAAGTTATTGTTTTTTTTGTGTTTAAATGACATTATTATTATTATTATTTGAGCATATAGATATTGGTACAAGCAGGCACCAAATACATATGCGCCACACAAATCTCATTTGATTTGTGCAAGGGCTGTGATACTGCCCGGGTGCCTAAACCGAAACAAGTGACTGCGCTTCTTGTTACCCGAAAAATTCATTAATATTGCTTTTTCACACAGACTTAAAATGTACAGATATGAATTATAGCGAGAATATTTAAATAGAGATGTTTTGTGTTATTGCAATAATGACAATTATAAAAATTGTAGCGTCTTGTCAATCCTTTTTCGTATTGCGCTTAGCATAGAATTAAGCGTTACACTGATATCCTGGTTGCGTCTTTATGACGGGTTCAAAATCCACTTTTCAAGATAGCCAACTTTTGTGTTGTTTTGTTATTGTTCCAACAGAACAAACTAAACGTTTTCCTCAGAGAAATATGCTTTATAATTTATTTTACAGTAGGTGCAGAGTTGTTGTTTTTACGTTTACACTACGTATTGATATAGTAGAGATCAAGAATATTCCCTTTTTTCTTTATTTCAGGCTCAAGCTAAACAACGTGCTGGACGTGCAGGTCGTACAGGTCCTGGAAAATGTTATCGTTTGTATACTGAAAGAGCCTACAGAGATGAAATGTTAGCGACCAATGTACCAGAGATTCAAAGAACAAATCTAGCAAGTACAGTTTTGCAGTTGAAAGCCATGGGTATAAATGATTTATTGTCATTTGACTTTATGGATCCTCCCCCATTACAAGTAAATAATTAACTTAAATTCTAATCTGTTTGAATTTTTTAATAATAGTAACGTTTTCTTTTTTTGACTTAGTCTACCCTATACATGTAATTACGTTATTGTTATTTTATTCTTCAGACACTCGTCGCTGCTATGGAAACTTTACATGGTTTATCTGCTCTGGATGATGAAGGATTGTTGACACGTCTTGGAAGAAGGGTATATTTTTAATGGTTGATTTTATACTTTGAGATGTTTATTTTTCATTCTCATGGTTTTTATTTTCAAATATATGCAACACATATTTTATATGGATATTGTTTTGTCGTTTATGAGGTCAAGTGTATTTATCACTGCCATGTATTCATTTGTAACAAATATGAAAATCTATTTGTTTTAAAAGACAATCAAATAAGTTTCTGGCCTCCTCATTTATAGTTGGCTAATAAAACCAATGGATTTTAAATTTTGCGTCTCACAGTTATTTATAACATTGCATAATAAGTTCAAATAGACTGTTTTTTATTATACAATTTAAGATCAATATATGGTTGTGAGGATTGTTGAGTTTTTTTTCAATTGAGATAATGAACCGATCAATGTTAAGCGTTCGCGTGCGGGATCGCGGGTATTCACTTCTGAGTAGTGCCATATTAGGACGAAAAGACTGTCTAGTGTTCCCAGGTTTTCAATGTCGGTCTAACATTGATCGGTTCATAATCTCAATTTATGATCAATTATTCCATTGTAACTCGTTTTTATAGTGTTTTTCACCTCTTGGATACCTGGTATTTTAACCATTCACTAATAATCGCAGTTTGCTTTCAGGATCAGTGTTATTATTATCATTATTGCTATCATTATTCTAACCTCTTCGATATTTGTTTTTAAGTGTATAAAATTCGAAATCATTCTTTTCATACATATACAATATCTATTGATGATAAGGTTGATTATTAGGTTAAGCATAGTGGATGAAAACAATTTTAATATTATGCAGTTATAACTTCTTTTTATAATAACCCTTAATTTTGACGAACAATTTTTGTAAACTGTACCAGTGTCACTCTCTACCATTGCTCTTGTTTTATGCCCATTTTTTTCTTTTGTTCGTTTGTTTATCCATTACTTGTTGTTTAAACTTTTTTGTTTATGAAATCTAGTTTATGGAAGTTCTGTGTATATTGTTGTATGTTTGGACACATACGCACACACACAAACATATACATATGAACACATAAACACAAGTAGGTGAATGCTCCGTTTTTATATGTATTAGCATTAGTTACCATTTTAGATGATAAGTAGTATGTTGTCGATCTAGTTTTATACATCTTTATGCTCTAGATTTGGACTATTGTCTTAATCTAGGCGAATTTGTTTAGTAAATACTTTATTGTTAGGATATAGAATAATAGAAAGTCAATACATTTTTAATAATCTATTATCGATAATAATAATTTTGATGAAATATTATTTTTGTGAATATTTTGTTGTTATATTTGCGGGTTCCTGTTACTTACTTAAGGGAGAAAATATCTCAGCCGAGAGTGGGACAGTCCGTTCTCCCTCTCGAAATTCTCTAATATGGTATACAACCACCTCCATGGAAATCCTACTCACTGCTTTCTCGAAGAGAGGATGCTGTTTACGAGATTGAGAAGACAAAAGGCGAATGTCTGGCATTTAAACCATGTTAGTAGGTAAGGAGGACCCACCTAGGGGAGTTGGAAAACTCTCATCCCAAACCAATGGTGCACATTGGCTCCAGGATCCTGAATAAACAAATGACGTATGAATCTGTTGTTGGTCACCGGCTACCATGGGACTGCATTTCTTTACGTTGCCCCCACTGTCTTGTGGATTAGACCTGTAGGTCAAAGGCTCGAGAAGTGGCCCTCTAAGAGAGCCCCCTGCTTCGGTTTGGGTGCCAGGACAGTATCCCGACCGTCACATAAATCGAATGATAAAGTGTGGTGCATATATATATTTGGTGTTTAAATAAATAAATGAACCGTCACATCATTAACTACCGATATGAATACCACATGTGCATGTGCACTACATTACTCATTATCAGAATTATCTGATGTGATCATTTTTTGTGAAATCGAACCTTTCAGTATAGCACGTGCACACGTAGCTGAATTTTGTACTAGGATAAAGCCATCATCCTGGTTTATTTATACAAACTGCTTTTGAATTATCCTATACTTAATTAGTGCTATTTTCTTCAAAGGTTATTTTTTTCGAAACTGTGCGACAATCCAAGTGGCTTCTTTTAAAAAATTTAAAACTCTGACCAAAACTACCATAATCTTTAGTGGAAATGTGAATTGCTAACAATGTTCTAGTTTATGCTTTATACTGTTAGATTATATCTGTTATACACTTAAAGAAATGTGATATCTAATTTAGACTAATTATATATATTTCCTGAAAATGCTTTTAATAAATAATCAAAAACAACAATCTTAATTAATAGCTTTATTCGATATTATATTTTTAGTACAATGCAGAATTCTTAGCACAAAGTATTTCAACAAGTTTCCTTTTCTTATTTTTTGATCGATCCTGACGATAAATATTGAGTGGTCTCCAGTTAGATATTAGCAGTTCAGGAATCGACGTCAGAGTAATGTTAATTTTTTTAGTACATATTACCAGCCACCATGATGTATCTGATTGTACTTTTTTTTACAACTTTTACAGTGAATTGTCTTGCATTTTTTATAGATGTTTCTGAATTGGTTATACATTTAATAGGTTTAGTGATTTGCTAAAATAAACCAAAACAGATAATTTGTTGAAATATGTATATGACAGGAACAACTAACCCGGCTATTCAGTCAGACCTTCGAAATTTGGTTAATTAGGTTACAAAAAAATCAATCTAGGAGAATACATCGTTATGTTGACAAAACGTATATGCGAAAACTGATTTACCTGTTTCTTTTCTTTATTTGATATCCTTTTCCTTGATTTTGTTGCTTGTTTTTCAATCTAATAGCTTCATTCTTTATTCACTAGGTCGTTAGTTGTTTTTACTTTAATGTCATAAGTTTCATACATCCTAATGTGTCTTTTTTTCTTACATGACCATTGTGTTATATATTGTCATGAAAAATTTTAAATTTTTTCGTTAGATCGTAAAGCGTTTATGCAAATTTCATATTAGTTGTTTATATATTTGTTAGTAAAGGGTTAAAATTAACCGATTGTTGATTTTAAGGACCAAATTTTGATCAGTCTTTGGTGGCATATGTGCATTCTGTGTGGCTTGTCTCAATATGGCTACTTTGCTACAAGTTTTATCAAACGGATGAACTATGTTTAGGAGGAGAATTCAGGACACTCGTTTCGTCTTGTTTGGAACTAATCATCTGAGTTTATCTGCATCCTAATGTGAACTCAAACTGAACACCTTTTGTTTCAACTACAGGCACATTCGGCTGACGAGTTCAAAATAGGATGAAACGGGCTTCTTTTTTCTCATCGCCAGCCACAATTCATCCATTTCTTTGTTATAAAGTTTACCGTATTTCTGTACATTGAATATATATATATATATATATATATATATATATATATATATATATATATATATATATATATATATATATATATATTACTTTCAGGTTTCTGTGTTTCAACTCATATTCGGGATATTTGTTATACAACACATCCATTATGCAATGAAATTTCTTTATCTCCCTGAATAATTATTTCAGATTTGTTATTTCTATTTAACTGTTTATTACTAATAGTTTTCAAGTTTACCTCAGCTGAATATTGTATAGTGTGTCAAACAAATGTATGTATATACACGAGGTCATATTTTTATCTTTGAATTAGCAGTTATTTTCATCTTCAACATTTCATCCTCGATGTCTGTTGCTTTTTTGTACAATACGGTTTGCTTTGTTAGCACAAAAATGTTAACCATTAGTTTATTTGTTAAAATGTCGCAATGCCAACTATTAAATTACAACCTTGAATCTCTGTCTACGAATAATTTACTGTCTAATGGATTGACCAGTATATATAATTAGTGTAAATGATGTCAAAATTTATTTTTCTAAAATCGTTTTTCTAACATTTCTAAAGAAAAGAACATAACACTCCTACTTAGTCAATACTACTGTAGGCCTGTTGTGACCTGGCGATTTCTGTGTCAGTGACACCAAATGATGCAGATTCGAATGGTTCAGGGACCGTTTATCCCCACGAAATTTCTGACTAGTGATGAGTTAACACAAAAATTGGTCCAGAGCTTTCTAATAATCTCCAATTGTTTGGCAGAAAAATAGAGTGCCTATGATGTCGAATCATTTAGACTAGACCTTCCACCAAATTGGGTGGTAGGACTCAATCAACGCTAATGACTAGGTAAACTTGGTATTGGTTATTTCTCATTGATTGATCAATTGTAACAAGAACTAACCATTCAACATACTTAACTAAACAAATGAAATGACCATTACATGTATTTTGGAATGTAGTACACTAATAGAATTCGATTCTCTATCATTATTTCTATTGATTGACCATAAATATACAGGAAATATTCTGATTATATATCCAAGTTATTATTCAGTTTTTTCAAATTGTTGATTCAAATATTTTTACATTCAAGGTTTTTCTCTCGTATCAACTTGAGTTATGACTATTCTACTGCTCACAATTTAATCTATCATTCAATCTTTTATCCATGCAATTTGGTTGTTCGTGTACCACGCCATGTTCATCCTGATGATTTGTTCGTTGTCGCAGTCTCGGCATAGATAAAGTTTTTTTCGGCTTTTGCCAACTTCTGTTACCTGCAGTGCAGGCGAAATATATGTGTACGTTTCAAAAAGCGAATCTGTTGTATAGTAGTTTACTATATTACTATACAGGTCTTCGACAACCTACACAATTAAAGCATATAAGAAGACTGAAATTCTTTGATCTTGCGTGTATTCTAAGTCTTCCACGTGCTTGGTGCAGGCACCGGGTGAACAATAATAGTGTTACTTAGTAGGGTCTTTAAGTTGGTTGATAACTCTGGATCAGATTAGATTGCTGGGATGTGCTACGCGTGCTTAGACGATACATCTCGAATCGCTAAATAAACTTGCATTTAAGGTGGAATAAAAGAAACTTGAAGGCAGCGTAACTGAAGCGTATAATCATTATGTGTCTTTCCGAGCTATGCGAGAAAGTATAAACTTCTTGATTAATACTTGATATCGTTTCATACTTTTTATCCTTTAGTCTTATTCGTTGTTCAACCACACTTTTTCATGTTCATCTTTACATGACAGTGAATATTACTTCTCCCCCCCCTATGTTTTACATATGTTTTGGCTATGTTGTTGCGGCATCTTGACCGGTTATACATTTTTGCAAGGTCTACATTGTCTAAGACTGAACTGGCTAATAGACCACAAAAATTTATTTTTCGGTTTATTTTTCACTATTTTTTCTTTTTCTTTATTTTGTTAAATTCAGATGGCCGAATTTCCTCTTGAACCAATGCTTTCTAAAATGTTAATTATGTCAGTACATTTACAATGTTCTGAAGAAGTATTAACTGTCGTTTCAATGTTATCTGTTCAAAATGTTTTCTATCGTCCTAAGGTTAGTATAATCTTTTTTTCTTGTTTTGATAAAAAATAATTTTCACTGTTTATGGTTTGTATTAAAATGAATTAGAAACCAATGAAACATTTTTTCTAGTTTTATTGTGTAAACTGATTCTTGGTTTTGGATATATCAACCATTATGTAGTTAGAATAATGCATTTCTTTTTATGTATTATTGTGAAATAAAGTGAATGAATTGACTAATTTAATTAATTTTGACATTCCCTGTTATTCTAATCAATTTGTATATCGTGTGATGGTGATTCAAAGTTGTTCCATCTTGTTGGTAGTACTTATGTATACTTCCATAATTTCCTCAGTATTAAAGCGTTTATACTAATACTTGACATTAGTCTATAAAGTAATTGACTATTAGATTAAGCTGTGTTATTAGTTACAGATTATCTGATTAAAAAGTCCTTGCGATCATCGTAACGAATAGTTGAGGAAGTTGTGTGACATGTAGCCGAATATAATATGCCAAATGTATTTACTTTTCATTTTAAAATTATCTCATACTTTTTCTTCTGCGAATTCATTATACCTTGTCGAATTAGTTTGTCTATATCTAACGTTCCCCGTTAATTCTGATAATGTCGTTACTTTTGCTACTCTGAAAGTTGTATTAATAATTTCATCTAACCATTATGCTATTTTGATGTGACAGCTTGGGCCACTGCACGTTTGTGCCACATTCTACATTGCTTATGCTTGACTGGTGAAACCAGATGAAATGTTAAACCCATTATCATATTCGGTACTCACTTTAAGTATCTACTTTAAACTGGCTTCAAAATTGTTTTTCTTCTGTTTCCAAAATACATAAGCTATTTCATTTTATACTAAAAAATAATTTAGGAGAAAACTGAATTGGCTGATCAACGTAAAGCGAAATTTCATCAACCTGAAGGTGATCATCTTACTCTATTGGTTGTATACAATGCATGGAAGAATAATAAATTCTCTGCACCATGGTGTTATGACAATTTTCTACAAGCAAGAACATTAAAACGTGCTCAAGATGTACGTAAACAATTGCTTGGTATTATGGACAGGTAGGTATTTACTGTTTATTGTTTTATTATTGGATTAATTCTTCTATAACATATTGTTATTAGTAAGTCAATATTTACAGTATGGGAATTTGTGGAGATTCTACTGTGAAAGTCAGTAGTTATTAGCATAAGATTAAGGTTTTGTGAAGATTATGGAATTTTGTTCTGTGGATCCAATTATCACGAACTGATCAGTAGTTGTTGAAACATAATCAATGTTGTGTTGCATAGCAGTGCTCAATGTCGAACAACGTTTATTCATCAAGTCTACGGTGTACCTAATATTAGTACATTTTCCTCTTGGTTTTTGTTTCAATTCATTTTTTTCTACATAGTCTTCATGTACCATAAATCTTGTTCTTTTAATCCTGTTCTTGTTTTGTTTCGTATTGTTTAGAAATGTTTCATCTATTTGAAGACATATTATCATGTGTTTCTTTGTTACATTTACGGTTTATCTGAATAGGAATTTAATTCAAACTGCTGTTTTTATTTTTCTGGATTAAGTTTTTTTTGTTCTTCGTGAAAACTAATGGCAAATAATCCCCAGAGTAAGGTCGACATTATTTAACTAACTAAATATTGTTTTCTGTTTCTGATCTCGTTTGGAATCGAAAAGGTTAGTATTGAAAGACATGCCAATACAGGTTGAAATCGATTTAACATTGACTACAATAAATTCTATTTAGGAAACTGACAAAATATTATGGTCAATTCAATAATCCGCGTAGGACAAACGCAAGAAAGTTAATTATGTAAAGCTTTAATCGTCAAGGAAAAAACGTTTATAAATAATATTTAGAATTTCAGGGAGCATATTTTATGTTTGTTTAGTTAGTATTTCTCACATATTATATCATTTTTTAAATCTTAAATTAATATCGTGAATCGATAAATGTTAGACCACTATTGAAAACCTGGAAGCAATGGATGGCCGTTTCTTCTTAGTATGGGTCCCCTCAGTAGTGCGCATCCGCGATCCCGCACGTGGTCTTACATTCATCCATTCACAATATTAATTCAAACTCAATCTCCATGACCCTCTACTGATAATTTTTCAAATTGTAAGCATCAACTTTATTTCCAGTTACGATTTTTGTTGTTTCAGTCTTATTTATTTCTTTAAACACATAAATATTGGTACAAGGAGGCACCAAATATATATGCGCCACATCCGGTCATTTGAGTCGTGTGAGGGCTGGGATAATGCCTTGTTGCTCAGACTGAAGCACGGGGTTTTCTTAAGGGACCACTCCTTGAGCCTTTAACCTACGGGTATAATCCTCAAGACAGTGGGGCAACGTTAGGAGATGCAGTCCCATGGTAACCGGTGATCAACAATAGGTTCATACGTCATTTGTTTATTCAGGATCCTGGAGCCAATGTGCACCGTTGGTTTGGGATGAAAGTTTTCCAACTTTCCGAGAAAGGATCCTCCATATCCACCGACCCGGTTAAAGTGCTGAACATTCGCCCCTAAACATCCTTGTACAACCGAAAGTGGGGAGAGTCCACTCTTCTTGAAATGCTCTCTCATCCCCACTTCCAGGGAAGTCCTACTCACTTCTCGCTGTGGAGGTGTTGTGTACGAAATTAAGAGTCTTATGTAATATAAATCATATATTTTTCTACTTATTTCAGACATAAACTTGATGTAGTTTCATGCGGTAAAAAGACTGCATTAGCACAGAAAGCAATTTTGTCTGGATTCTTTCGTAATGCTGCAAAGAAAGATCCACAAGAAGGTTATCGTACGCTGGTTGACCAACAAGTTGTTTATATTCATCCATCATCTGCATTATTTAATAGACAACCAGATTGGTAAGTTCATCTTTCCCTTAGTGTTTCTCTATACTGTATTGCAGCTATTCGATTACTTATTTTGTTTACACAAATGTGTGATGCATTGTCAAGACATCAATGCTATCTCTTAGATAAAAAGTTTAATGTATACTGTTGAATTTTCGTAAACATTTCCATCTAAATGTGAAATCTAAAATATTTGAAAAAATGTACGGAATAAACATTCACATTTCAATTAACAGAAATTAAATTTATTTAATACCTTTGCTCCATTAATGATATAGAATCTTGTTATTGTATACAGAAAGGCAGTTGACGATCACTCTATCAGTACCATTCACAACACTGACAATTTAATGAAATACTTAGCTAGAAAAATGCGTAAATTACACAACAGTATTCGACTTCTATATTAAACTACTAATTAGTAATAATATGAGAAAACCTCAGTTATTCAATCGTACGTATCTTTGATGTGCAGTAGTCATGTGAAACAATTAAATTTAAAAATATTGAAATCAAACTTTAGGGTTTCAGATTATTAAATCTACTGTTACATAATATAATTATCATTTCACACTGGATAACATTACCATATAAATCAGACGTGTGCACATTTTAACTTCAAATATATATATATATATATATATATATATATATATATATATATATATCCCACGTGCAGAATCGTGGGTGCCCACTACTCAAAAGTCCCATACTAAGACAAAACAGCCGTCCAGTGCTTCCAGGTTTTCACTGGTGGTCTAGCCTAGATCAACTCATGAATTCAACCGTCATGTATTTTCCCTAAATGCATACAGAAAAAAACATGTAAGGCATATAATAAAATTCCTTGCCTTAATGTATAAATTAAATATTTAAGGCACCCTTTAACTCAGGTTATAAATGTATGACCTACTAAATATCCATTTTTTATTTTTTCTCCCTTCTTTGTTCTACTTATTGCCACGTAACCATCGATACCAATAACATCGGATGTGTAGAACTAGTTTTAATATATCTATATAAATATTTTTAGTTTGAAAATTATTAAATCTATTCAACAAAACAATAAAACACAAAGGTTCAGAGTACAATGTAAATTGGCGAAATCTTATCCCAATTTGCTGACACTAACTTGTTAACTTTCTTCCCCTACTTTTTTTACTACTCATGAGGAAGGAGTAAACTAGAGCATCGAAAAGAGTAAAAAGCGAATAAATAAGTAAATAAATAAACAATGATTTGTGTTTTACTATGTACTGATGCACACATCAACTTGTGAAGTAACAGTGGTGGACTTTGTAGTAGTGGCAGTGGTAGTAGTAGTAGTAGTAGTAGAATTATTAAGTAACCACTTAATTCTATGTATGTATATTTCATTTTAATGAGAATAATTCTTGCGTTTATTTGAGGGGAGATTAAGTTTTTCTTTATATATATCATGAAATGTTTATTATTATTAGTGTTATCGTTTTGGTAACAAAATAAAACTGCTTAAAAGAGAGGATGAATAAATTATTGATCACTAAGAGAAAACTAATTTTATAATTTTTTTTGCTGTACATATACGTATAATTATGTCATGTAAATTACGTTTAAAAGCTGTTTACATACGTAGTTGATATCGTGTAGATTCAAATAATATGGTAATAATAGGCCCGACCGGTTTTGCTACCTTCACGTGGTGGTAGGGATTGCCTATCGTGATGAAGCAACTGAACTATACTGACTGGAACAACCGTTCCTCAAGATCTCACCATGCCAGACAGGTCGGTTGAAGAGCAGTTAGACTAAAAGCAAAAAATCCAAGGTCTGAGGGCGAAGTCGTACTGCTGACCGTACAGAGCTGTGACAGCAGTAAGGTGTTTCCTTCAGACAACCAGCATCTGCAGCGATGCTGCCTTCTCACAAGGAGGGGTGGGGTTAGAAAAGGTCGACCCTATAAATAAACACCTCACCTTATCCCACGGATAGCCGTCTCCGGTGGTAAGGTCTCAACAAGTACGGAGCTAACACAAAAACTTCTCATAAAAAGGTTGTATATGACCGACCTTAAGCAGCTGTCCCTTGGGCACTGCGGTCAAGCTCTCAGATCACTAAGACCACCTCTAATCCAGTTTCCTTTTCAGATACCTCCAGAAGAACCCTTACACGATATGGGCAACCGGGAAGTGATAACCGCCCTCACCTCTAACACCACTAAAGACCACTGTATTTATAATGAACCTCCCTCTTCAATTCCTATTATTCCTCCTACATCGACTTTCAAATCTAAACTTCCTCTTTTGGTTTCCTCTTCAAGTGTCACCATAGCCGACGATTCTAGTGAGCAAAACACTGTCTCAGGTCTACTGAAACCTTGCTCCAAACTACACATTGGAGCCTTCAACGTACACACACTATGTCAAATCGGTCAACCGGCCTCCTTGGCTAAAACCCTAGAATCTCGTACGATTGATGTATGCTGTGTCTCCGAAACACACATACAGGATCCTAGTGTGGTCATTCACCTGACCTCACCTCGGCAAAACGGAGAGCCGACGAGATACACCTTCCGTCTATCTGGTGACTGGACGCCTAGTTCTCGTGGACTGGCAGGTGTAGGCATAGCACTAAGCATGGGGGCGGAACAAGCGCTATTAGAGTGGATCCCCGTAAACAGTCATTTATGCGCTCTTTGGCTAAACGGCTCCGTAAAAACTCGGAAGGATAGGGACATACGTCGTTTCTGCCTACGCTCCCACTGACTGCAGTTCGGATGAAGTGAAAGATGAATTTTACAGAAAGCTGTCTGAACTTCTTCAGAAAGCTAAACGTTCAGACATAGTACTCATAGCAGGTGACTTTATTGCCCAGGTAAGTAGCTTAAACGAAACAGAAAGACATTTAGGTGGTTATTTTACTATTCCGGCACAGCGAACAGATAATGGTGATCATCTGCTGCAACTGTGCCCAGACAACCGTTTATTTCTAGCAAACACAAATTTTAAGCATAAGGAGAGACACCGTCTAACATGGCGACCCCCTGCACCAAATCAACGATGGACTCAAATGGACCACATTGCCACAAATCATCGTTAAAGAGGGTCGATAGAAGATTGTCGCTCATTCTAGAGCACCTGTTTGGACTCCGACCATGCCCTAATGCGAGCACGTATCTGCTTGCACCTCACTGGACGCAAAAAAGCCACATTAAAAAGACCCATTAGAACTGAACTGAGTAACGAGAAAACCAAAAATAGGTTCCAAGAACAACTGAGGTCACACTTAGGTAGTTCTGAAAACGAGGCTGACCCAGATGTTGCTTGGAAAGTTATACAATCAGCTGTGGAATCAGCAATGACATCTATTAGTGATTTAAACCAAAAGGTTACAAAGAACCAATGGATTTCTTCAAGGTCTATTGCACTGATGGATTCTTGTAAACGCATCCCATCAGGCTCTGAACACGATGAAGAGCGTAAACCAATCAGATCTAGGTTAACCACAAGTCTGGGGAATGATCGTGAGCAGTGGTGGGCAACGAAAGCAAAAGAGATGGAAAAGGTGGCGGCTATAGGTAACACCAGATAGCTCTTCAGACACATAAAAGAAACTGGAACTAAAAAGTCAGGTGTAAGTGAGACTATCTCGTAAAAAGACGACGTTCTTATCTGCTCCCAGTCCAGACATTTAGAACGATGAGCGGAACACTTTAAGGAGCAGTTCAGCTGACCTTCAACTACTCTAAAAATACCCACCATTCCCAGACAGTGCGGATGGAACATTGAAGTAGGTCCTCCAACTCTAGCTGAAGTTCAAAAGGCTATAGTTAATCTAAAACGAGGTAGAGCAGCTGGTCCAGATGGATTGGCTCCAGAGGTCTTTAAGGATGGTGGTCCAATTTTAGCGACTAGGTTGACTAATATTTTAGCTAAAATCTGGGAGTTGGACGTAATCCCCTTTGACTAGTCAGTCAGCCGGTCAGTAACAACGTGGAACTTCGTACGTACGTATATCAGTTCGAGTCGCCATACCACATTAGCACAGAGATTCAGTTATCGATTCAAATCCCGTAGTGGTAGAGGTAGTGAAAGTATAAGTAGTAATCGGGAACATTAGGGTTTGATGATGTTATTTAAGGAGTATAATCCAGTCGAATAGATTTTGAAAGAAAATAACGGACACAAAGAATTCAGAAGATTAAAGTTTGGGAGAACACAAAGAGTGGATGCACTTGCGCCATCGCAAACGATTTTGAGCCATGTCATTCAAGATCTCTAACCATCGGTTGCTGTCGTCTCGCGGACCCCAACCAGGTGGTCTACACCTACCAACATGGATCAGTCCACTTGTCAGTGACTTCATGGATTTGTGCCATGTTTTAGTCTGACGGCTCCTAGCTTTCTTCCAACCTACTCCTACACCATAAAACGTCGCACGTCGGGGCAGTCGGTGGTCGGGCATGCGCAACACATGTCCGAGCCATCTCAACTGATTAAGTTTCACTTCATCAATTGATTTGCCATCCTTACCTAGTACCCGTTTCCTAACAATTGAGTTACTTACACGGTGGTCCCAGGATATACGAGCAATGTTACGAAGACACCTATGGTCGAATACTAGTAACCTACGAATATCCTCTACTCTTACCGGCCATGTTTCACTGCCATAAAGTAGGACAGAACAATCTGCTGCGCAGTAAACACGTTCTTTGGTTGATAGACGGATATCTCTCCTACGCCACAAATATCGCAAGTTGGCAAAAGCTAGTCGAGCCTTCTGTATCCGTGTTGAGATTTCGTCACACACCAGCCCACAAGGGCTGATGAGACTTTCAAGATAAGTGAAGCGGTCGACACGCTCAACTACTTCACTCCCTATCACTGACGTAGTGTGTATATATGATCAAGACAACCACGTCCAGGTCGAAAACCAGCCTGGTATTCTCTAGTCTGTTCTTCGCGAGCTTTGGTTAGACGTCGAAGTATTATTGAGGCTAATATTTTAGACACTATATTAGTCAAACTAATTCCTCTGTGATTGTCACAAGAGGACTTTTGTCCTTTGTTACAGACTGGCACAATCAGTGATTGAGACCAGTCAGATGGGATTACATCCAGTCCCCAAATTCTACCTAAGACCTCAGTCAATCTCGCTGCTAATACTAGACCGCCATCCTTAAAAATCTCAGGGGTAAACCTGTCAGAGCTGAAGGCCAGTTGAACTAGTCCCTAAAGTGTTCTGCCCATCGATCCAATCTCCTGGATTGAGAATGAATAATATGTCCATCTTTCTCTGTGATAGTTTCGCTAACAGTTGGGTTCCTAATACCGGTTTCCCTGGACAGTTGCCTGCCTTTACCTATTGCCATTGCCTTTTCCATCTCTCTTGCTTTCGCTACCCACCACTGTTCACGATCATCGTGTAGGCTTCTTGTCAGATTACGCTTAAGCTGACTCCGCTCTTCGTTATGTTTAGAGCCAGATGGAATGAGTGCGATAGATGCTGCTGAGATCCAGTGTTTCGCCCTAACCTTTTGGTTTACCGTACTATCAGACATCACTGCTGTTTCTACAGCTTTTCGGATGTCATTCCACGCTGCCTTGGGGTGGGCATCACTTGCATGGCTGCCTAACTGTTTTTCTAGTTGTTCCTGAAATATACTCTTAGCTTGACTATCATTAAGTAGGGCCCTAAGAGGTTTCCTTGCATCATCTTTCCTACGTCCAGTAAGACGTAGACAAATACGCGCTCGCACTAGTGCATGATCTGAGTCTAAACATGTGCTTCAGAATGAGCGACAGTCTCCTATCGAGCCCCTCCATCGGTGGCTGATAACGATATGATCTATTTGAGTCCAACGTTGGGACGAATTCGGGGGTCGCCATGTCAAAAGATGCTTTTCCTTATGCTTAAAGTTAGTGTTTGCAAGAAACAGGCGGTTATCTGAACATATCTGCAACAGACGGTCGCCGTTATCTGTTCTTTGAGCCGCGACATCATATGATCCACCCAGGTGTCTTTCCCTTTCACTTAGTTTACCCACTTGAGCATTAAAGTCACCAGCCACTGTTACTACATCTGAACGCCTAGCTTTTCGGAGAAGGTCGGAAAGCTTTCTGTAAAACTCATCTTTTACATCATCTGAGCTGCAGTCAATGGGAGACGATGAAGAGGCAACGACGAGTGTCCTTACTGTTCCGTTTAGTCGGACAGCGCACAAACGACTGTCTACTGGGATCCAGTCTAAGTGAGCTAGTTCTGCCCTAGGACTCAATGCTATACCTACGTCAGCGAGGCCACGGGAAGCAGCATCAGGGCTTCCAGATACACGAAGCGTAAATCGAGTTGGTTCTTTATTTTGACATGGTGAGGTCAAATGAATGACACTACTCGGAACCTGTATGCGCGTTTCGGAGATGCAGCACACATCAATGGAGCGAGATTCTAAAGTCCTAGCTAAGGAAGCCTGTTGTCCTATTTGGCACAGTGTTCGGACGTTGAATGCTCCTACGCGTAGGAGACCAGAAATAACGTTCCGCGTACTCGACCTCAGACCTTGGATTTGTTGCTTTTAGTCTTACCGTTCTCCAATCGACCTACCTGGCATGGTAGAACCTGCAGGAACATGTGTTCCAGCCAATATAGCTCGGTTGGGTCATCATGATAGGCAAGCCCGACCACCACGTCATGGTAGCAGCTACGGTCGGGCTCTGACTGGTCACAATCACTTATCGTCCCAATATATAAGAAAGGGTCAAAATCATCCTGTGACAACCATAGAGGGATTAGTTTAACTAATATAATATCTAAAATACTAGCGTCGATAATTATCGGACGCCTAACTAAGACTCGTGAACTGCAAACGCGTGAAAATCAGGCTGGCTCCAGACCTGGTCGTGGATGCATCGACCACATATTCACCATTCGTCAGGTTCTAGAAAAAATGTTATTATTTTGTTTTATTTGAACACAAATATTGGTACAGGGGGGCACCAAATATATATGCGCCACACACATGCATACTTATCGGCGTCCGACAATGGTGGTCTTCCTTGACTTAAAAGCAGCGTTTGACTCTGTAGACCGAGGGGTTCTGTGGCAGTGTCTGTCATTGAAAGGCGTACCTCAGAAGTACATAAACCTTGTGAAAGCCCTTTACTCGAACACTTCTAGTCGAGTGAGAGTTTATGGCGAACTGTCATCCGCTTTTGCATCCTGAAGTGGTGTCCGTCAAGGCTGTCCACTTTCTCCATTTTTGTTTAACTTCATCACAGATCTTTTGATGGAAATAACGCTCTCATCGACTGAATTCTCGGGCGTCGATCTCCTACCAGGAGGTCCACTTATCGACTTAGAATACGCAGATGACATAGTCCTGTTTGGTGAATATGCTGATGAAATGCAGTCTTTTGGTAGCACTAAGCAACAATGCCAGAATGTTTGGGATGTGCTTCTCTCCTTCTAAATGCAAGTTGTTACTTCAGGACTGGTCTGCGTCAACATCTGAACTAAGGATAGGGGGTGAAGTAGTCGAATGCGTTGACAACTTCACTTATCTTGGAAGTCTGATCAGCCCTAATGGGTTGGTGTCTGACGAAATCTCATCACGGATTCGAAAAGCTCGTTTGGCTTTTTCCAACTTACGTCATCTATGGCGAAGGCGAGATATCCGTCTGTCAATAAAAGGACGAGTATACTGCGCGGCAGTTCGTTCCGTTCTACTATACGACTGTGAAACATGACCTTTAAGAGTAGAAAATACTCGTAAGTTACTAGTATTTGACCACAGGTGCCTTAGAAATATTGCGGGTATCTGCTGGGACCACCGGGTAAGTAATAGTGAGGTTAGACGCAGGGTATTAGGGAATGATGGTAAATCAGTTGATAAGGTTATGAGTCTTCATCGACTGAGATGGTTAGGCCACATGCTGCGTATGCCTGAACACCGATTACCACGACGCGCAATGCTAACCGGTGTTATGGATGATTGGAAGAAAGTTAGGGGCGGCCAAACCAAAATGTGGCATCAGTGCTTGAAGTCACTAACTTCTGGTTTGAGCCATGTTGGGAGATTCAGACTGACTGGTTGGGGTCCGCGTGACATGGCTCAGAATCGATCACAATGGCGTCGGTGTATACACTCTCTGTCTTCCTTTAAATTAAGAGATTAAAATCACTTCAAATCTTTCTTTCTAGGAACTAATTCTTTCTTCCTGTACTATCTCCTTATACACAATCTTTCTTTTATATATTATCACTACTGAATTAACTACTTCTATGAATCCGGTGTTCATCTTGTTGTGCTAATGCGGTATGGCAACTTGGACCGATGCATATACGTGCCTGGTCCTACGTTGCAGCTGACTGACTGACAGTGATAGGATTCTGTATGTTTTCTAAAATTGAACTCATGGTAATTAAGAGTTGTCACATAGTATATATCTTACAATTGGTTAGTTACTGAGTGGTGACCAATATCATATTGGTGTAGTTTTTTAAGTGCTTATCGATTTCTATTAATTTATAATGTTGCTACTAGTCATCAAGTTTCGTAGTCTGAGAGGCCTTACCAGTGAGCTTTACCGTATGGGACTGGCACGGGTTTTAATCCCATAAGAGACACTAATTTCCTCCAGACTACAGGCACGCCTTGTTGACGAGTTGCAATTGCTCCGAAACCTAGGTCTATGGGTTTCTGTCGACTGACTACAACCAATTATCAGTAAAAATCTTAGATAAATTAGCGGATTGTCTGTTTACTTTTGAAATTCCCTGTAAATTTTATATCAGTCCAAGGTATTTTTAACCACATACTGTGATGTTAACAAGGTAATCATTAACAACTAGATAGTAGATTGTATGTGATGGTATAGACACCACCCTACTTTTTGATGATGATGATGACTTAAACTTCTCATATATTCTAAACATTAATATTCAATTATTGATTCACTCAGAGGTTTCTATTATTTTAATTGGATCCAAACATGATTATGATCATTTACTTCTGTTTGTATTTATGATTTAATCATTACACGTAACCAATGAGAAATCTAATTTCTAAATGTTCACATGTTTTGTTAGTTATAATCCACTGATTTAGATTATAAACGTTTTCTGTCGGTAGGTAATTAAATTTCAAGGTGGAAATATTATCGAATATGATAATCCTTATAAATGATAAGTTTATATCACTCTAATTCATAGTGTAAATGAATTTTAATAATAATTAGAAAAAGAAAAGAAATGATAATCATTAATTCGTGATATTTACATTTAGATTAGACTTATTAAAACCTAATTATTTTTTAGATTCTAATCACCTTATACTAATAATTACTTATAGAATAATATTTAATTTATTAAAATGCTTCATATCATCGTATATATATATATATATATATATATATATATATGAATTACAATTTTCACACACACACTCTCTCTCCCTCTTTGTTAAATCATTTCATTTAGGGTTGTTTATCATGAACTAGTTATGACTACTAAAGAGTATATGCGTGAAGTAACTACAATCGATCCAAGATGGTTAGTAGAATTTGCACCGAATTTCTTCAAATTTGGCGATCCAACTAAATTATCACGTACTAAAAAGTCAATGCGGATTGAACCATTGTTCAGTAAATTTGAAGAGAAAGATTCATGGCGTATTTCACGTGTTCCAAGGAAATTTCATGTTAAAGTTACATTTTAATATTTATTTAACTAACTTATTGTTGTTCAACTTCTGTTTCAATATAGTATTTTGTTTTCCTTTTAAGCAAACATTTATTTATTTATTTTGTACAGATGTCAAATGTATTTTTAAAAATTCACATAATTTACTATTTAAATCCTTAATGGAAATGATTGTGAAATGTAACAGTATTGTTGTCCTGTTTTTTCTCTTTCTTTCTTTTTTTACAGAAGGATCAGTATACTATTTGTATTTTATTATTTTACCTATGTAATCGACTTGAATTTGTAGTAAAGATATGTATAGTTTTTCATTGGTTTCATATTTTGATGTTTTAGTTGTCTTAGTTATATGGGCATGAACTTTGTGTATTCTTACAAAGTTCTTTGTTGTCTTTTGTTTATCTTGTTGTGAATAGTGTCGCTAATCACCACAAATTTAAGAAGTTGCATTTTATTCACATCATTACAGGGTTTAGTTTAGTTAGTAATATGCTTTCACTCATAATCAAAGTAAGTCTTAACACAAATATTCATTGATCCGATATAGCAAACCACAGTAGCACGACTAGATACAATTAATAAGATGAACAATCAAGTAATTGAAATCGTAAAGTAGACAATTAGAGGCTGAACATAAAGAATACGGTTTGAAAAAGTATGTACGAAAGAATAATAGAAATTAAGATCTAAAAGAAGATAAAGTGTGGATATATCTACGTCTTTATGATGGATTCTATCTTCATCTACAAACAGTGACTTCATGGACTGATTTTATGTCTTGGTTCGATCACCCCTAGCTTTATTCCAACTTCTCTTCCAGAAAAATTTGTCTTTCTCGTTGAACGGTGATTAGACGTACGTAACTTGTCACAGAATTGATGACCTCATCAACTGATTTGGCACTTTTGTTTAATCGTAACATTTTTCATCCGATCGTTCTACGAAACGCGAAAGGTACCTTAAGAGACCTATTACCAAAAGCTTGCAGCTTACACATATCTTTCATCAGACACCAATCCACCAGGGTTGGTGGAACTTCCAAGGTACGTGGAGTGGTCAGCGCGCTTAACTACTTCACTGCCTATCATTAATTTCGGCGTTGACACACACCAGTCCTGAACACAACATTGCAAACATGCACTATTGCTCAAGGCGATCTCTTCGCCATATAGGACTATGTTATCTGCGTATTTTAAGTCGATAAATGAACCTCCTAGTTAGAGACCATACCCTAAAACGTTGGGTGAAAAACTAGTGATTTTAGGAGAAATTTCTTCACTTGATTCGTTCCTTCTTGATTTTAGGAGGGTTGTTGGCTTAGCTATTTAACGCACGATCATTTAGCTACTGAATCACTAAATGTCATGATATGTACACCATGTTATTGGTTTTTATAAAATAAATGTTGCTCACATTCTGGTCTACAAACGAAAATGGTGCTGGTTTCATAGAATACACTAGTAATTTTATATTCAGTTGTAACTCAGTAATGACACAGTTTATTAAAAATTCTCAATTTCCTTGTTTAAAATCTGTGAATTTGGCACAAAACTCATTGACTAGCAAAATTTTAAGTTATTGAATTCTCAACATGTTTTGAAGATTGTAGCTTGTAGTTAATCATTTATACTCACATAATGATTATTAAGCATTATATTAAATTGTGATAACCACAATGTTTTGATAGTTCACGTATAGTCAGTTTACTGAAAAACGTAATTATGCGATTGATTATAGATTTTCTATGAACTTTAGTTTTACAAATCCATACTTATAGAAAAAAAGTCGTTTTTCTAAAAAATATACAGTAGGCAGTTTAACATTGGAAAAAAGTGTAGATTAAAGGCGCTTAGAGTTTGTGCAGAATCATAGATATTCACTTCATAACATTTAGTAGTTAAGTAATAGAACATTTGATTTCTACAATCGATGCAATCATCAAATCGGTAGCTAAGAACAAATCATAAACATTAGACTACTCCAGTGCTAGTTCAAATCAAACGCGGGTAATAAGATCAAGTCGGTTGTATTTTACTATGTCTTATCGATTGTCCCTGATTTTAAAATAGTGAAGCAATTCCTCGCCATGATAAGAAAAATAAATTATTTTGAGAACCTTAAATCGGACTTCATATCCTAGCTTATTGAAGGCGGAAATCATGAATTGACTAGGCGTGATTTAACGTCAGAGAATTTATTTACTTTGTATTTGATTTACGTTGACTTATGCAGCATCATAGTTAATAATAAATAGAGGTTATTCACTCCTCTCGACAGTTTCAACAAGAAATTTGTTTGTGAAAAGAAATCGGCGATATGGTATTCAATGCATTTGACTTTCAACTGGTAGATCGTGAGTTCGAATGTCACTCCATTTACTTTGGTTTGGGCAACTAATTTATACTAATAAGCATCTCACAAACAGTGGTACACAGTCGAATATATAAACTTATACTCGTTAGATGCGTTGCGCATATTTCACAGGTGTACAAGACATTTATCTACAAATAGACTTTGACTATTATTATTAAGTGTTCGGCAATTAAAGCCAGTCTATAAGGGACTCAACCTAGGTTTTATGCAGCTTGGCACTTGTCAGAAAGAGGTATTTGGAATCCTTAGTAGGTTTATGCCACCATTTATATTTACACCCAGTGTCAGTCAGTAGTGTTTCGATCTCCATATTTCGGGTAGCGACTAACCTCCCATAAGATATGTTTAGATTAAAATTTGTTTTCCGTAGAACTATATAATTTAATGTTTTCACATGTGTATGATGTTGTTATCTGTATCAAGTGAACAGAATGTATGCTTGTTTATATTTATCCAGTTTAAGGAAGTGTTATTACCCTGTTTTATAGATTAAATTATACATGTAGATTAAGCTAAATAATACGATGAAAAGAGAATATTCAAAATGAGAAAGACATGAATTTTTTGTCTTATGAATTCATAATAAGTAACAAGAGTATGTCTAGGTAACAGATAAACTCATAAACAAGGAATAAGTTACAAGCCATATGATGTTATCATTTTAAATGTTATGTAACCCAGAATTACTGTTGTTGATAGGTAAATCTTCAAAAGTTTGAATTTAGCATTACAAATGATATGATAACCAATAAACTGCAATATCAATTAATAGTATTGCTTTTAGTGTCAATTTTAAGTAGATAATTTTAAAATAACTGCTGGGTCATTTGAATTATTATTATTCACTGTTCAACTAGTGAATATATAGCAAGCATAATTGTTCATCTATCAATATGTGATTCAGTACACGTATCTATTTATTACACGCAATTGATAATATATTTGACGTCATTAGAATTTGGCATTCTGTTGGGAAAAACTATATATATGTATATATAGGTTATAAAATATTGGGTGTAAATAAAATGGGAAATATATATTTCAATGAGTCATAGTTACTGTTTTTTTTTAATGTTTGCTCTTTATATAGAATGATTTGTACTAGATAGGTATATGTTTATTAGACCATTTAAATGTTATTTAAATACAATGCCAAATAATGATGTACAATGTTATTTTTTCAGAATAATAATAAAGATAATCTACATTCAATTCATGTCACTGTTATGATATTCAATCAAAATATTTGATGTTGGTTATTACAATGAATGATGTTATTATGATATCTCTTTTAAATCATCATGTACTTGGTATTGCTCTATTCAAATTATTCAATGATTTATATACATCCTTAAATCTATCAAATAGGTGGAATCGTGGATGCGCATTGTTGAGGAGTCTCATACTGGGACGAAACGGCCTTTCAATGTTTCCAAGTTTTCCATGATCGTCTAGCTTTAATTGACTCATGATCTTAACCGTGGAAATTACTACAATATCCATAAAAACCCTTCTAATGTGATTAAATAAAAAAAATAGATTGTTTCTAACTCTAGTAAGTGTTCCAAAATATTATAACCTTTATCAATCATATAAGATTGACCTTGCTATGTATACATTTATTAATTTAATGCTCTCTTTTTACTACAATTGCTCACTTGTTTTATATACAATAAACTAAAAATTTAAAGATTATACTGAATAACTTTTTTCTTCTTCAGACATAACACATGGCATAAATATCATGGTAAACTTAATTATAATAGTGAGATGGTGAAGAAGATTTGATGGAGTTTTATTCTCTGAGCTGGATGGTTTGGTCGTGGAGCTTTCATCGTTCTTCTGAACGACATCATCAGCAGAAATTTCATATAGAAGTCTGATTATGTCGTTCTAATAGTCTATTCTACATTCTTAAATTACTAGAATACTTTTTACATTTTACAAGAGCACATATTGAACAAAATCTTCTTAATAATAATTTATCAAACAGTTGATTCTTTTTTGGCATCATAAAGCACAGGAAAATTAGTTTATTCTATTTCAATTAAGATATTTAACTAAAATAATAAATATTTAATTATAATATCGGTTAACGAATGATTGTATTATGCATACATTGACACAGATATTTAATAAATACATTTCAATCAATATACTACAAAATATTCGTGAAATCTAGAATGGTTTCTATATTTAATAGACTGTATGGTTGATAAAGCATAAAATATAATCGACTGAGTTCAATCAAATAATGATAATTTTTTGATAATTTTAATTGAATTGATTGAAGTTAGACATACCGGTTCAGTGTTCGCACGTGAGATCGATAGGTCCTGGGTTCGGATCCTGTGAGCAGGGTCGTGAATGTGTACTGCCGAGGAATCTCATTCGAGAACGAAACGGCCATCCAGTGCTTCCAGGTTTTCCATGCTGGTCTAACTTTAATTGACTCATGAATTCAACTATTAAGTTGTAGTTTATTACAAATTGATTAAGTCTGAAAATATGAACTGTTTCATTAAAATTCAGCTCTTGTGATGAAACTAGAGATTTGTTTACCCTATTCTTGACTTAATTATGAGCATATTTCGGTGAGTAATTTCATACTAGGAGAAAATATCTGTTTAATGTTGATTGGATTGAAATATAAAGGGGAATTTAGTAAATTCATTAGTTACTAGATATTTTTCGCAACAGTGCGAAAATTATATTTGTTGAAATGTTCATGATGACATTTTAATAACAGACATTCAAGAAAATTTAACACCTGATATCTGTATTTTGAAAACTATTCTGACAAGATCTTCTGAAACCGTATCATGGTATAGCTAAACAGTTGAGATTTAGAAGTATATTTAAGTGTAAAAGAAATCGAAATACATTCAGTCTTTTTATCAGAAATTTATGACCACGATATATTATTTCAGGAACACTTATTATACAAACTTTCTTACTGCCAGTCATTACGATGTCTATCTTCTGTGGATTTCAGCAAAGCCACATGTTTTTGGCCTTCTATATTGGTACACATTTTAGTGAATTGACACCATTGATTGATTTCATCAATTTAGGTATTGTTGAGAACCGGGA